ATAAAATTTTTGTACGCAATGAAACAAGGACATATCCAGGTGAGCAGCTAGTCGCTCGTCGGCAACCCTCTGGGGCGCCAATCACGAATAGCCGTTGCCAAATTAATAATCAACTTCACCGCAAGATACCTATAACCGATGCGTAATAAAATCCAATATAAGCAAACGATATATATATATACCACTATCAACATCATCGAATGATACCCCTAAAAAGTTTCCGACAAAGAATTCCTATCACGAAAATACGATGATCTAAACAGCTCCTAATGCATTATAAACTAGCTTGAACTATGAAAGATTATTAACCATTTAATATTCGATCCAGCGATAGCCACTACCTTATTTGAATCAACTTTATTTATTTGTTTAGGATCATAACTACTAATGACGTCGTTGTGGTACTCCTAAACGCTTTCGAAATACCAGTCACTCGTCGGTTGCTGGTCACTTAGTTTTACTTTTTCAAAAAGCTCACATGTTCATTCTGTACAATAGACCTCTGTGCAATCCTCTTTGTTTATCAAAACGATGACAAAATGTTTTTGAAAAACTACACTTAAAATCGAATGACTCCACGTCAAAAACTTTCGGTCAAACTTTAAACAAAGTCATTTTTTTCCTAAAAAAGTTTTTCTCTATCCTATAAAAAAGCAAAATACAAAATTTCAAAAAACTAACAACGCCATCGTGTTCCCCGGCCCAAGTTACCTTCGGCCAAACCTATCCCTGCAGGATATTGTTTGAGCTTAGTTAAGTTTATGCACCTACTTTCCTATTGAACGAGCGAACGAACAGACGAACGAATGTATTTAACTCGTTTTTCGTAATACCCTCCTTTCAGTAGAGGGAACAGACAATGATCGTACTATCTATTCTTAAATGATGTAAAACTTCAGATGATCCCATTACATGTGTAAGAAACTGTTTTACGCGGTAAGATTAATTAGTTTTTCAATTAAAAATAAAAATAAAAGATTTTATTTAGATTAACATCTGATAATTATGAACAACAATGGGAATTTGAAACCTTACTTCATGGATTTCGAGAAGTTCTTCAACGTTTTGCACGACAACAAGAAAAGGCTAATGATATATCAGATGAAGCGATACATTTATTAAAGTCAAAAGCATCGACAATCATAATGTTTTTTAGAACCAACGACAAAAAGCTTCATGTTCCGGTGAAGTTACAGAAGACGCGAAAATTACAAGTTGTGCCATGAAAAAAAAAGAACTCTGTATGCCATATGTCTCGTTCATTTCTTTTTATGTTAATAGAGGATTTCGATTTATTGATAGATGTGCCGATGATAAATTCTTAGATAATATTACCAATTGTCGTGCTCATTCTCTTCCATACCAATTTCACAATGTCTTATTTATGAGTAACTGTTTTCACAGTGGCAGATTTGATAAAGTTTGATTGTTATCAATGCATAATATACGCCCATTTGAACATGAATTATTTAAAGTAATCTTCCAAAACTTTCTTTTTCTTCAATAATTAATCATACGGGACGATGTAGCGCAAGAAAATAAGCAACATCATTCGTCTACATTGATTACGTTTAATCATCTGCGTAAACTCGATCTTTTCACTGTACACGTTGACTATGCCATACAGTTTCTTTCTGACAGAAATATTCTTTTTCCTTGTTTGACAAATCTTGCAATTGAATACAACGAATTAGCAACTGTGACAAATTATTTTGCCATGATGCAACACGTCTCACTTGTTCTTAAATAAAATTTCTTGTCTGTACATATTTGTTCGTTCTGAAAACTTTAATTCATATTTTCCTTCTCTGTAAATATTAGTCTTATTTATAAATCATTTGAATAAAAAGAAATGCGATGAGAAAGTTAAAATATATTTCAATAATATGATAATAAGGAATTACTGCATAAATTATCAATTGTAGTCTATATAATGTGTATAATAATATTCAATAAATCAGAAGATGAAAATAAAAGGAATATGATTTAAATAACTGATTATGCTTTGAATTTTGACAAGTATTGAACATAAACTATATTATTGAGAAATTATATGATAACGGATGATACTATAACGAAGAAATTCATTATATAGATTTATAGAAGTCAGTCTATTCTGAACCAGATACAATTTAATTGACATATTAAATATAAGTCTTAGTTTGATTGGCAGAAACGATATGAATATAAGAGATTAGTGCATACAAAAATTATCAGTTGTTCAGTATCTCAGTAACAATGGCACTAAGATATTTCATATTTTCATAGAAATATCTCTAGATAACAGTAGAAACTCTTAAAAATGGTTAAAAACAAAAACACTCTTGTCAGGTGGTATCACTAGGCGAAGCTTGGTTTTTCCGCTTTCCTTACCTGTGTATGGGAGCAACCACTGTGGCGAAGTGTGGCATAAATTTTTGATATCAGCCCAATGTGCCAATAAATCTATTGGCTTATCCCAAGGAACGTGGTTCGTTTATTTGAACTATTGCTTCGCTTTTATCTTGCATTGGTGGTATATGATTCAGACTTATGATTCGACAAGCTTTTAAGGTGCCAGTCATAAGTTTCTGAAAAGTTGGAGGCGAATTCTACATAATCCGGTAAAACATTGAACTAATCGAAACCAAACGGTGTAACGAATGCAGTTTTCTCTTTATCATCCTCGTTGATACGTATTTGGTAAAAATCTGACTTAAGATCAAGATTGAAAAAATAGCTGTAACCTTGACCTAGTTTTCTAATTACATCTTCCATATTGGGTAAAGGAGAAGAATCTTTAAGAGCTATGAAATTTAGCTTTTTGTTGTCAACTATGAAATAATATTAATCGTCTTTCTTTTTGACTTAAACCGAAGGTGTTGCATATCAGAAATGTGATTCCTGAATAAGGGCAGCTTGCAAAAATTCGTGAATCATTTTATACAGATAGCCTCCTCCTATCTGGTTGAGGACAAGATTTACTAGCTGGAGATGAATTTGGCACTATTTTAATAACATATACTCTATACGTGTACGAGCTATACAGTGTTTAGTGACATCGAATGTATTATGAAAATGTTTTAGCAACAAATAAATTTTTTCCTGTTGTTGTGTATTATCAATCTTGCGAACTAACATCCTGAAACTATCATCGACAACTAGTTTGCGCAAGTCTATAGTATTACACAAAAAAACTGTTATTATTGCCGTTTGATCTATTATGATTGCGAAAGACGTAATTATTGGAAGAAAATAAAGCTTTGTCTGAAACTCTGCCTGCAAGTAAATCATGTAAAACTGGTGTTTCACTGGTCGATTGGGTAGCTCCAAATGATTTACTAGGAGCAGCTCGCATATCACATAAATCATATGAAACTGAGGTCAAACCGGAAGTACCGGGTACGGTAAATGATATACCCGTATATAGATATGCGGGACTATCTGACTTCTGACTGATTATAGATGTTTTACGATAAATTATAAATCCAATACAATGCCTTCATTCAAGTAACGAAGATATGAAGATATATTAACGAACTTGATATCAGAATAGTATAGTTCTGAAAGTTCAGAAAAGTATACGGCGTACTTATAAGGAGCGTGTTCTGTACGAAAGAGTTAGGAAGAAATAGACGATATTGGAATTCGATGTAGTTGATAATCTGTATCCATATTCATAGAATAAATATGATCATTATTTATACTGAAAATAATCTGTTATGCAACATCGATACTTGTGATTATATTTATTGATATAGTTCATTCGTCAATGACTATTGTTGCACACAATATTCGAGCAATATGAGCATGAATTTTTGTTGTTGAGTTTCAAATTCGAAATGATACTTCAATTACTCCAAAATCGTGGAAAGATGCAAGTCCATCTGCTAAGGTAAGTAAATAAGGAGCTTTGCGAGTATATTGTAAATGTGTCATGTTTTGTAAAGAAGTCATCGCTTATTAATGTTGTTTTTGCTCCAGTATTGATTAGAATTTTTAATTGGTGAGGAGACTAGTAATAAATATTAATGGAGATTTTGATGAATTTTCGGAATATTTTCGAAACTAACACCATCTTTCGGTAATTCCTTCCTTAGAATTTTGGACATGACGAGGCTTCATGATCCAATTGGCTACATCCTATACAAGGTGTAGCAGAAACAGATAGTTCACATGGTTCTAAATCAGTTTTATCGGAAGAATCCAGTGGAAATACTGTATTTGCAGTACGTAAGCGTGATTGGTTGTGTGAAAATGCTGGTGTTCGAAATGATGATTGAAAATTATTACGACTGTGTCTATTCACGAAAGTATTATTACTATTCAGGTAAATGTTATATATTTATGATACTTGGACGAATGTTAAGTGGTTGGTGAATCATTTTGATATGTATTATTGAGCAAAGGAATCGTAATTAAAGAAGGTTGTAAACGGCTCTTTATGACCTCCATCGTTAGAATTCTTCATATCTTCATTAGTAATAATAGAAAGTTGAAATAGTTCTTCGACATCTTTATAACGCATTCCAAATATTCTTTTAGAGTTATTGACTTCTTCTAGCGAACTTCAAACTGTATAGTTGGTTGGGTTTTATTCAGTAGATTCTTCACTTTATGTGACCTCATTCATGATGGCGTCAGCTTCGTTGCATAGTTTTTAAATTTCACTTAAAACTTTTTGAACAGATTGGTTCTCACCTTGATTATACGATTCGAGTTTTTTAAACGTTAATTCTTCATGAAAAGAGGAAGTAAAGGAGGATCGTAGTTCATTTGTAAAAATTTTCCATGAAATCAACATATATTCTTACTGATTTTATACCATTGGAGAACATCTCGTCTCAATGAGTATGAAATTAAATCTAAACGACCACTATCTGGAATGTGCGTAACATTTAAAAGCTGCTCGATATCATCAATCAAGTTGTTGACGTCATCTTTACCTCTTTTGAATATTTTCGGATTTTTTATCAAATCGTTCCCGATTGCTTTTCGTAAATCATTGATGTTTTTATTAAGTATGAAAATAGAAGAGTCAATATTACTGTTCGTAGGGTTATTATCGGTGACTCACCAGTTATATATTGGTGGCACCAAAAATTGACAGAAATGGTAGAACGAAAGGTAGGCGGCTGGTGTGTCATTTTAGAATTATCAGTATTAAGTGCAGATTTCTCCTCTGCATCGAAATGCAAAAGTAAAAATTCGTATAGGCCATCAAAAGAATAAATTTCTTTTCGTCTTTGCCTCACCTTCAATGAGACGAGAAATTGTTTGGAAGCATAAATTTCTAAAAGTTTTGCTCAGCTTCATTGAGTCATTGATTAACATTTTTTCCCGAAAATACGACAAAGTTTTCTATGACGATTCATGCCGCCAAATTTCGTACTAAACATTATTCTTTTTTCAATAATACAGGTTCTTTATTTATTGAATCTAGCGAGTCGTCTGTTGTTTCGATTTATCAAATAATTGATTTGATTCTATACGATTCATATTAATGCATGAATTAGTTAGCGTATCATGTTTAAGTGTGCAAGTAGTCCCATGTCGCCAAAATCGCCTCAATTTCAGTGATTAATCGCGATTTTGATAAAAACCAACGATTAACCGCGATTTTGATGAAAAAATCGCCGATTAATCGCGATTGATCGTCGATTTTTTTAATCCTTACAAAAGTATCATCTTAAATCGCCGATAGTATCGGCGTAGGCGATTCATTGCAATTAATTGCCGATTTTAGTGAGTAGTAGAAGCAATTTAAATCGAATTGAAGGATAACTTTATCATGCCGATTATATACGTGAAATTTTAACGTCTAGATATCTTAAAAATTTAGCCGAAAAAAGACACTATAAATTTATAATATACAACAATAGAATTTTCTTGCAGAGCTTTTACGAATTCATTAAATATACAGCACATAAGAAAGTAATTCAACTGATCGTTTTCAGTTTATTTATACTTCGTTATATTGATTTATACAATTCAACGCAAGAATTAGTTTGTAATATAGTCTTGATACAATTCTTACATAATTCGCGAGTGAAAAATCATGTTACAGTCGATAACTATTGGGCATTCTTTATCTCTTCCTCTCCATTATTTTAGTTTTGAATTTATTCTTTTTCTCTCTTCTTTCGTCAGTACATTACATTCGTCCGTTCTGTTTCAATTCTTCCAATCATTTCAACTAATTTAGGGACAATGCCGAGGTCGCCCATCCGCACCATTTAACTAGACGACGAGCATTATTCTCATCTATTTCTTTCTTTTCTATTCGTATAAATTCTTTTAGTCTATACAAGTTTACAAATGAACTAACGATATTCTATTTTTTGTAAAGAAACAAGTATGTGAACAACGCTTCATTCTTTTACTTAACGAAATCAACTAGCTAATACTATTTAATATTTTTAAGAAGTGAATTTTTACATTTACAATGCTTCTTACAAACTGTTAATGTGATATTATATTTCTTGTCTGTGTTCGGTAAAGGTGAGTTCATTTGTTGCTGTAACTATTTATTATTTTGCTGCTACTATTAAATACGCTCTTAAATTAATAGATATATTATTTGTGAGCAAGGAAGAGTTTCAAAATATTGATGTTCAAAAGGCAGATGAAGATCCTAGAATCAAACATATTTATAGTAGTTATAACAAATATAATTACGAATGGTTACTGATAATATTTTATTTTATTTCTTTTAGAAGCAGTGAAAAAGAAATTCCATTATTTAGATAAATGCGAACATCTTAACTATATTTATCGCTTCTTTAGGTTCAACAATTCCAAATACATCAACACTGCAAACGCCACATTTCAATGATGCAGCAGAAATTATAAATGAACAATTATTGATGGAATAATCTAGGTTGGTTAAGTAGTTAGACAATACTGACTAATAAAATCAAGAAAAAATTAATATTTTTCCATATTTTTTTCTCATGTATTGTTACCCATATCTATCCACGTGTATCAATTCATTTTATTGTGTTCATGTTAAACTTATTTATTGAACGTAAAAATGAAATTAACTGTAATTTTTCAAATACTTGTCATAATAAATCAATAGAATCTATGCCACATAGAAATTAATATAATCGAAAAGGAAGATGGAAGAAAGAGCATGACTAGAAAGTCAGTATTAGTCACACAATCATATATTGATCGCGATTTGTCAAAAAAATCGAGAAAAATCGTTGAAAATCGGCTATTCTAACGATCATATCGCGATATACTCTCACGATTAATCACCCTGACAAATCGCGATAAGATTGTTGGCTTTGCCGCGATTTTAGTCACATGGGGTGGTATTATGCTGCGATATGGACATTAATTAGTCATAAGCTACATTTATAATGCAGGGTTATTGTTTAAGTATAGGTCGATTTGGTGTTGGTAGAATTGTCTTTCCATGATTAGTATGTGATGAATCGATCACTGTTGAATTTTTATGTTCGGTGGATGTTAAAAATGATGTCAAATCAGTATGTAGGGTCAAAGAATCAAGTAAAAATGATTGAGAAACGTACGAGTTTGTATCGTTCATATCGATGACAAAACGAAAAGGTTTACATATATTTATATGTATGTGTTATGACTAACGTTAGAATCGAATCCAATTCGAAGTTTGTCTAGACGGAATCAGAATTCTAATGTTGACTAGACAATTAAAAGAACAGTGTGTATTTTCGAATTCACTCTTTTCATTCATTTAAAAATTATTCCAATTTCGTCTGGACGAACTTCGAATTGGAATGGATTCTAACTTCGACCATAACATATATAAACTTGAAGAAATACCCAGGCCGAGCATTACGGCTACCAGAAACGGTCGTATACGGCCGTAACTTGACGTTTTGGTATGCACCGTATTACGGCCGTAATTAATCGTGTCGTAAACGGTTACTAACGACCGTAATGTGATCGGATATTTCCGTATACGATCGTTTATGGCACGATACAAAACGACCGTAATACGGTGCATACCAAACGGCTGTGTACGACACAAGTTGATCGACCTGGGTAATCATGGTTTATTATTGATGTCATAAGCTAGCTCTCTTAATAGTTATCCAATACAAACTTTGCAGTATCTAATACAGTAACAGGTGCTCATAGAAACGATAGCGGAGCAATAATGGATTTCAAAATTATTATTATTTATTTTTGTTTGAAACCCTCGTACCATATAATAGTTATATCTTGCCATTAATAATCTGTAGACAAAATTAAATAACAATATAGAACAAGAATATTTTTTCAAAACAGCGTAGAAAACTTTGGCAACCCTCGAAAAATAATATAAAATAAGATTAGTTATCATTTACAAAATATTCAATAAATAATGACATAGATAAGTGAAGTGTAATCCTATCTTAAACTCTATGACTATATTATAATGCCTCGTAAGTCTCTTTTTTTTAAAGATATATCCTTCATAGGATGTATGTAATCGAAGTGTTTTTCTTTTTTTTTATTAAATTTTAAGCTACCATCTGGAGATTGATGGAACTAATAAATAGCAGTTTCACCTTTGTTTTGCTTTTCATTTCTTATCACATCTAAAAAAATCAACGACGTTATGTTGAAGCAGATTGTTCTCATTTTTCTTTTCTTAAGTAAGATCATATGCTCTCTTGTACTCCAATAGTAGTCATTTTTATTTATCTCAGGTATTGCTGTCAATGCTGAAGTCACCCGAGAAGACATTGATGCTGTTCAAAAACAATTAGAAGCAGCTGTTCAAGTTGAAAATCGATGTACAACATCATCGGATTGTACCGCAGCACCTACTGGATCTCGGGCATGCGGTGGCCCCAATGGTTACGTTGTATATGCAATCAAGAGCTCTAATGCACGAATGATTCGTTTGTTAGCAACAAAGACAGTTGATCTTGAACGACAATATAATTTGGACAATGGAGTCATATCTATTTGCTCGATGATAATGCCACCAACCCCAGTCTGCGATAAAACCAGCAAATGTTCTACCGATTCTACAGTATCACCATTCGAGCCAGCTACCTTAGAATAAGTTCAAAAACGTTTATTTTGTGTTGTAATTTATTGAAGATAAAACTTTGATGAAATACAATGAAGAGATGAAAAAATTCGTTAATGAAACATATTTATCAGATGAAAGGAATTTGTTTTCAATAGATTCAAAAAATCATATTTACTCTAACAAATTTGCTACTTAGAGTTTACATGCGTCGAGAAAAATATGCGGTAGAACGCAAAAAAAAATATTATGAAAATAAGCTAGCTTCCAATGCAATAAGTGAAAGTGCTAGCTCATCAGTGCACCTACATTCGAATAAATACTCATTGGTAGGCGAACCCTATCGTTAAACTGTCATTGGAACTAGTGCATTGAGAAATTTCATTAACCTCATGTACACTGTGAGACATCGGCCTAATATGAACGACAAATACGTACGAAGATGTCGCTCAAGTCATTCTCATTCAGAACCATGTCTAAATTCAAAACTAAGTATTGTTTATTCGAGCTGGTTCTTCTAATAATATGTACACCAGCAACACGCACCTTTTCTAACATTCATTACATATGATGGCAACATTTTTTTCTGTACAATTAAAGTGACACATATTTGTCTTTCTTTTTTTTGCTATTTTCATTTTCTTTTCCTTTTTATGTGGAGAACTCGATAAGACTTTTCTTTTCTTTTGCATCTTGCAGGCATATATTTTCCTTGTTGTTAAAAATAAATAACGAAAGAAATAAAAAATATGCTCGTTGACGATGAAGTTACCGAGGAGAATTCTTCGAAATATCATACAATTGCTATCTGTAAAGACCTTCCGATAGTTGACAATTATTATCCCACACATGCTCCCAAGAATCATCCAGATGGTGACTACTGGATCAAAGAACTTGGCAATGAAGAGAAAGAGAAAGATTACAAAATTCAACATATCGTCGCAAATGGACGCCGTGAGTCACCTTACTCATCGAGTCATCCGTTCTTTTAGATAATACTTTGATTTAGATACGTCGTCCGAAGGAAAGCATGCAATTTTTTCAGCGTTTCTTTATGCTTACAATTCACATGAAGACATCGTCTTGTGTCCCGATGATCTTTGGCTCATGGTATGCATCTATTTTTCCAATTATGTCAATGCAAATGCGGAACAATTGCGAAGACTTTTTGTTGATCACGAAGGTAGTCAATTATTGACGATCGTACAAGTAGGATTGATTGAACCTGAGTGAGCACGATTAATTTTAATGGGATTATAATTTTTCATATTCATTGTGTTGTAGTTGGCAAGATTTTCTTGAGCGTATGCGTCGCGCAGTCGGCAATATTGTGAAGAATGACGTTATAGATTCCCTAACAGCCAATTTCTCAACCACTGGTTCGATTGAATCTATTTTGTCATGTATTGCTGCCATGGATACATTTAAGAACTACTTCGAATACAGATGTCTAATTACAAGATGTGGAATTCGTAATGTACACTTCATGGGAACGTCGGATGATTGGCATCTTCTACGTCGAAAAATAAAAAATCTGAAGAGTTTTACAACGGGTACAAACGATACATTTGCGAATTATATCGATGGATTATTGCCCATCATTGATGAATTCATCAATACGTATGCCAATAAAGTTAACAATGAATTCTGGAATAAAGTCATGGATATTGAACATGTTGGGATGGGCAAATCTGGCAAGTGAGTAAACTCAAATTACTCGACTTTGACACAAAAGAAGTTTATACGTGTCAAAACTTTTCATCTAAGAAAAAAGGATTTAATTTTGAGAAAAAGCGAAGAAAATAAACAGAATAAAGTATTTCATCTTTCATTACAGAATGCCTGGAACATATATTAATGGCTGGTTTACCAAATTGTGCTACGGTTTACATGAAAAACGAAGCTGTCACACTAAAGAAATAACTCTAAGATCATTTGTGGTTCCCGTGCAAGTAGATAATGAGGTCACACATTCGTCTAAAATGTGTTACGTAGCTGGAGGATTCCATGGAGTAGAATCAAAAGATGGTCGTCACAAACCGGTGATGAGTCTTGCGGTTATCGACGATACCAGTACTATCAAGCCGTATCAAACTACTTGATCTCAATTTTTGCGATGCAATAAGATCATGTTCATCAATTCTTTACTATTGATCCAGCAATTCTATTTTTCAAACAACTATTTACGAACGAGAAATGAGAAGTTGTTCATATTTCGCTAGGAACTATCTCTAGTGTTCTTACAATTTCCTTCAATTTCATATTTAATTATTTATTTCTACCGAAAATTTTCCCTTTTTGACGTATAGTATTTTACTCAACATTCGTATATTGTGAAACTAAAAAAAAATTTATTTTAAAAATAATAATAATTACGATAATAATTAAATGAATACTTTCGTATTTATATTCTCATTTTGAATCAAACTGTGAAACATTAATCTCCAATAAACTTCAAAATAATTAGAAATGAAATCATCGAATAATTGATCATGAAAATCTTTTCAAGTCAATCAAGCCAGATATTTATGAGAGCACTTCTTGAAAGGATTCGACGACATAGATTAGAAGTATATGAAGATCCTCATTCACATCTGCATTGAACTAGTAATACGTATGAGGCATATACGATTGTTAACCACAAGTAGGTTATCGAATTTCTTGGAATTCTGTTCTCAAAATGGAATGAGATGAAATCAATTGATTTCGATCGCAGGTAATATTATCTTTTAAAAATTAGGGTTATTTTACTAATGCTCCCATTTTAAATTCACAATGGAGATATGTGCAGTTAATTCGTTCAATCTATTTTAGATCTCACTTCATTTATGTTCGCTTTTTCTTGATATCTGATGCACAAAAAAGAATAAGAAGTTTGTGCATGCATGAGTAAAGATTAAAATTGAAAAGACTTAATGAGTTGAGTCGATGACGATTGAAGATTGCAGATTTTAGACTATTAAATTTATTCTTACTCTTCCTTCTCCAGGAGATAGTTGTGTGATTCAGCTACTAGAGTTTTTTTTTGCAAGACTTACTTGCATTAAATCACTTGTATTTAACTGATAAGTCGAAATTATAATTCGACTCTAGGTCAATCTTTGAACCAGAACAAGTTTCGTTTACTTCATATCTATTAAATGATACAGGGTTAAAACAATTTTACATCAATCATATACTGATTTAAAAACTATGACAAATGTCAAAATAGTTTGAACCAAAATCTAAACGTTAGAATAATTCATATGTACATTAATTATACCAAATTCAAATACTGTTACATGAACATTTAGTAAAGTTAACTACTAGGATTGTAAAAATGACCTCAAAACTAAAGTTTACAGTTTTCTTCGTGTATTTCTAAAAAAGTTAATAAGATATCTTTTCTATTATAAGATAGAAAGTGATATTTTTATTGTAATATAATATTTATAATAAGAATACATAGAAAAAGTCAACGATGAACTGGGATTAGTAATACCATAAATTGGTATTTTGTTTTCTTCAGTAGAAAAAAAATCAATATATTTTATGCTATCGTTTTACTTTGATCAATAAAAAGAGTCGTGAGATGTCAGTCTACTTCTAATCAAATGAACCTATGCCGATGTCGTTATGATGATGACAAATTGAAACATTGAATCAAACTATATCATCAGTTTTTTCTTTTTCATAAATTATGTTTGCAATGTATGGAATCTATTTCATATTAACTGATACATTTGCTTTTAAAATGCTGCTTGTATTCATAGAATGTAATATTAATAAAAAAAATTTATCGCGATAAAACATGTTACAATTCCTTTTTTTTTCGTTTTTCTTTAAGGTTCTGTATAGAGTTCTCGAAACAATGAAATATACCTTTCAAAACTCTTTACTTTTCGACGTACTTATAGTTAATGGAGAATTTATACGTGAACAATTCATTTTCATCTATGAAGCATTAATAAAAATTAATCAACTTGAAAGTCCATGCATCGCGTCGCCCGATTGCATAACAGAATCGATCGGTGACCGTGCATGCAATAGTACTCCTGATGGTTGTATTGTTTATTCAAGAAGAAGTTCACGTGCTGAATATATACTTCTATTACTGAAACTAACAATTAAACCTGAATGCCAATAAAATCGAGAAAATTCAGTAAAATCAATGTATATTCTAGCTAAATAACCAGCAGGCATTAGTGATGTAAGTCATAGTTGTGTTGTTGTTCAATCAGTAGTTTTCATTATGTTCTATCGAGTGAATACACGGGAGTTAATTGAGAAAAATTTCTAGAAAAACATCTAAATAACAAAAAAATGAAAAGAAACAATCCGATTTGTCCTATTAAAAAAGAAATATTGAGCGAGAAAACATTTAATAAAAATCTTTATAAAATGCCCTTGTATAAGTGACAGTCATCAGCAATACGTCAACATTTTGAAGATTTTTCGTTCCTTCTCTTCTTCTCTCTTTTCTTTCTTTTAAAAATTATATCAATCGGCTCGCTCCGATAACATCGAGAACATTAAAACTTCTCATACGCAAGCTTTCATTTATTTCTTCAATACTCATCTATAGATTTCATGGTACTCATCGATTAATAAACATACACCATAATAAGAACGAACAAGAACAGGTATTAGTAGAAACTTATAGTTGTCGTCAAAGATGAATATATCTTCGTCTTGGAATAATTTCTTTTGACTTAATTTATACGTTGTTCTGATGAACATTGAAGACTGACAAGTATTTCTATGCTATGTCTGCGTATAGGTTCTTTTTCTTTCATATTTGATGAGGTCAGGTCGAAAAAAAGTGAATTTCTGCTTTAGATTCGTCTGTATAATTTGATGTGTGGTAATAAAAATGATATCTGAATACTAAAATAATCTATTAAAGACAAGAAAAAAACAGTATATTTGACTGATTGATATATATATATATATATATATATATATATTACTGTTGTTTTTATTTTATTTTGTTTTAGAAATTCTTGAAATAAATAAATGTCTTCGAAAGCACAGCGACGTCGAGCAAAGCCTTCAGGTTTGTTTGAAATTATATAATATCTAAATTATCTATGAGATCATATTTCATAGTAACCGTGAAGCAAGCATTTGAAGAAAATGAGAATGAAAATAAACTGAATACTCATGTCATATCTGATGGATATGAATCATCACCAATGGGTAATATTGACTTAGATCGGTTCTACGAAAGAGCATTTTTTACGATCAATGATTCAACTGTCGAAGTTGTTTTAAATAATGATATATTAAGTTGGTCGACTATTTCAAATGTATCTAGCGAAAGTAAATTAAGAAATATGCTTCCCTTTTTCTGCGTAAAATAAATTTTGTAAAAGTTTATTTTCTAGCTTCTCGTGAACAGGCCCATCAAAGGCAAGCTCCTAATAATGAATATTTGAATTCAATTCATTTGCATGATGTCTATGCTATATCGCCAATGTATCATGGATCGCATCGATCATTAAATATAAATGAAAATCAATCGGATATCTCTCTATCAAATACAACGTCATCATTATCGTCCTCGTCAAATCTGCCATTACGTGGATTTCAATTACATTCATTTGATAAAATGAATGAAAATATTTTACAAGAAATTCTCGTTATTTTTCAAAGCAATACACCGAATCAAATTGAGCAATGGTATCGATTACTTTCAAAACTTATTTCTGAACGTAGGAAACTATTTTTAAAAGATCGCTTCCTTTTATTTATGTTTTTTTGATCTGATGAATTCTTTTAGATCGACCACCACGAAATTTTCTTGTTATCTGCAATCCGTATGCTGGTTCGAGGCAAAGCCGATATGTTTATAGTACAAAGATTAAACCTATGCTAGAAAATGCACATCATAGTTTTACTTATTCCGGTAATTGAAGTAAAATCACTGCCATCTAAAAATTTGTTGTTCATTTTCTTTTTAGAAATCGATGATTTCTATTCTGCTGATGAAGCACTAAATGATTTTCAAGGTGATTTCGATTCGTTGGATGGGTATGAAAGAAATTTTTGTTTGTTTTTCTATCAATTGATTCAATTTTTTTTATTATCTATTAGTTTAGTTATCATTGGTGGGGACGGTTCAGTTATTAATATTACTAATGCATTACTTCGTTATCTAGCAAAACAAAATCGCACGAGGTAAATGTGAAAGAATTTCCTATGATATTATCTATCTGTTTTATGATAGACTAAACGCAGAAGATGATTTACCACAATTAACATTTCCTATATGTATAGTGCCGAATGGTAAGCTTCGAAGTAATTACGAATATTTTTGTTATATTTTGTTTATTATTTTTCAAGGAACAACAAATATTGTATGCCATTCGATTCATGGTTGTACAGATCATCACACATCAATTCTTCATTTACTTTTCAGTAACATGAATATAATAGATTTTTTTTTCATATAAGTTTGATCAATGAAATTTTAGATAAACGAATGAAAATTGATATGTCAGCAATATTTGATATTAATTATAATTTTGTAACAGCAAATTTCAGTGCTGGAGCTGGTTTTCCAGCTAATGCTCTTAAATATTTTACACGTTACTCATTATGTAGTCCAAATAAAACTATTCGAAAATCATTCGCTAAAGCAGCTTCAAATAAAAATCTCAGGTAAATTTTTAATTTATATCAATATGCAATGAGTAGTCTAAGTTGAATATCATTAAAAACCAATACCAGTTAACAATTAAATAATACCGAACTTAAATAGCAAAAGAACAGATAGAACGTTCGTGTGAATATCACAATAGTATAAAATTATCCTTTATAATCATCTGAATAAAAAGTAATTGAATTTCACATCTTAATAACCATTTTCTTCCGTACTGTCAATATTATATTAATCAAGCGGTTACTATAGTATTACATTTAGAGAAAAACTTTTTTGTTAAATCTTTTTAACTTAAATTCTTTCCTAAACTCTTTCGAGTGACACATTTATGTTCATCAGAGATTAATAAAGAATTCGATTCTGTATTTGAGTAACATGGTGTTCAAATACAATTTTACTTGTCTATTTTCCATTGAATAGATTTATCGAAATGGAAATTCGTTATATTCTTGCAGATCAAAATAGTATAACTATGACACGTTGTCATCGAGGGTAAATCTATTGATCTATGAGCTTTTGAAAGTTAGAACTTTTTCTTTTAAATCTAGTTGCAGCTCATGTACTCCACCGAGTATTGAAGTATATGATAATCAAGTGAAAGTATTTGATAGCACTCACATACAAAATATAAATAAACGAAAAATGCCATCCTTATCCAATAATAATCATAGTACCCATTCGTTGTCAGCATCTAGAAAATCTTATAGTCAAGAAAATGAAGAAAAAAAACAATGGAAAACTCTACGTGGTAATTATTTACAAGTTGCAGTATTGACGAATGCAAATTTATGGTCATTTGCACCACAAGGTTTATCGAAATTTGGTCATATAGCGGATGGTTTACTTGACTTAGTATTGATTGAATCAACAACACGTAAAGAATTCTTACGTTATATTAAACGCAATGGAAATTCAAAGAATCAGGTATGTAAAATAGAGTCCATATCATATCAGTAGTTTTCTACATTTTTATACTTCTTTTTCTACCTAGTATGAGTTACCATTTACAAGAGTAATTAAAGTAAAGGAAATCGAAATAGAATTGAAATTTCCAAACAATTATTTAATAAATGGCATATCAAATACAAATAATGAATTAGATTCATCATCATCAGAGGATTCATCCAATGAAGAATATTTTAACAATGAAAATAGAGGATCTTTCACACAACGTCATGAACCTCATCCACCTAATGTACCTATATCGGAGGATAGTCGACGATATCGCCGTCCTCATCACCATCATATCAATGAACAAGCACAAGAATCTTTGAAACAAAAAAACTATTCAGAAACAGAATGGAATAACGGAAAGATGAATTCTTATAGCACTAATGTATTACCTCGTCGCAAGAGCTTTTTGTTTTCATTAAAATTAAAAAAAGATAAAACTACTCTACCACATCCATCGAGTTTTGATGTTGGTAAATATGGCGATGACAAACAAAATCAAAAAATTCAACGATTACCTTCTGGGTCACTTCGATCAGCAAAAGTAAATAATGTTATTCAATTACTATTTTACAGTAGACAATTCGAGTTAGATCCTAAAACTAATCATCTGTGTGCCTAGCTTTATTTTTATCTAATTTTTTTTACAGACAAACTTTTCTTTTTGTATAGTCATTGCTAAATCTTTTCACGAGTGGTAATTCATCATCGGTCAAACTTAATCAATCATTAAATCCAATGCAAGAATCATCTCATACTAGAACCAAAACTAGTATTGGAAGACGATCATCAATAATTAGTCGATCGTTAAGTAAAGAAAATGAAAAAATACCAACATCTACCAATACTCAATACCGAAATAGCAAACAACCATGTATGTGGAATTTAGATTTTACTCCATACAATTCACCATTGATAAGAATTAAGTAAGATCGTTTAGTAAATGATCATTTTATTTGTATATATGAATAACGAGTTTTTAGATGCTTTTATCGATTTTTACCAGTTTTTGGTGTTGGTCAGGATCGAGATACAACAATGAGAGAAATCAATTATTCATGTTTTGGACGAATCGGTTAAAGTTATTTCTTAATCTTAGTCCTTTGTTTTACTGATATTCAATATGCATGTGTAAATATATAATAATGCGAAAATATTATATAATTAATCTGTGCCTTTGACTTCATTCGAAATATTTTCTCAATCTGTATTGATTTTCGTTACAAATTCAAAATTAGAATGATTTATATGCACATGTGTTCTATTAGTGTTCATCGCGCTAACTATTGTAGCAGCATATGCAAAACTATACATTCTGACAACAATTTTACGATAAAAAAGTTATAACACTGATAATAAAGGATCGAATATTCAAAAAAAACGTCAATGACCAAATTCGATACTATAACAATTACTCACAGCATCTTCTATATTCATGACAGCAATTTTTAGTATTATATTTAAGATACTGTTTTTCTCTGCTTCTCATAATCTCTCGATAAATATCGACGAATAAAAAGTTTTCAGAAACGAATAAGCATGAGATTTTTTCACTAGACCAACTGTAGTTCTCATGATATATGTATGCACACATTAAACCGTAGAGACACAACGAATTCGACATCTAAAAACAATCTGACGAAATTCAATCTTTGATGAATATTGTTTTCTTTAGGGATAAACAGTAGCATTCACATTTGATGATCTATCATGAAAGCAAAATAGTAGAGAGTAAAATGCAAGTTAATATCATCGTTCTCTATGACATATTGCAATTGACATATTTATTTAATTAGAGAATGCATAGTGACGCTAGCTAAAAGTTCATAACTTGAACGCATGCTGATAAAATTCTCTTGTTAACAACAGAATTAGCTGTATCATATCTGATATTTTGACCTCATACAAATTGTTCAGTCATCTTTTTCTTATTAAATCAATAAATTATTAGAAACCTTAGAGTTTTTTTTTTGATCGAAAATGATCTTCACCCATTATAATTCGATCTAAGACATTTCTTGGGTTTATAAGTAGATTGTGTAAATGTCTCATATTTCTATTCAAAGAGAAAAATGCCGCAATATAAAAATAAATATCCAACACAATTGTCAATCAAATGTATTGTCTAAAGAGTCTTCACTATAAAAATAATCTTTCTTTAACATATACCATATTTACATTTACTGAACATGTGGTGCACTGTTATACTCCTAGCCTGAAGACAAAGCCATTTATTTGTCTTACATTTAGTCGTGAAGTCAGTCGGTATGATGTCACTCTTTATTCTGATTGGCAGTAGAAAGAAAAAAAAAGAAATAAGCAAAAAAACAAATGCAAATGCAAATGTATAAATATATAGATCAATAAATGTGTTTTTTTTTTCTTGTGAATAAAAATGTCATCAAACACCAATGTTATTTGGTTAGAAAATGATCAAAAGGAACCGATTCCTAATGAAATTTGTTCTCATGTTGCTCTATTTACAAATGAAGACGCATGCTATCAATTTGTATCTTCTTTACCAACAACATTACATGGTTTAACGTTTGTTGTTATTGATCCAACAGCATCAACCAATCGCATTGTCCAATTGAAACAAATATCAGCTGTTTATATACTTACATTATCAGAATTAAAGCCACAGATAAATAATTCAATAAAAATTCATGGACTTTTTCATGATCGGCAATCTTTAAAAGATCAAATTTTATCAGACTTGAATCGTTCGAAAGCTGTTAAACCTGGCTTTTTTGCTGGTTTAATCGCACCATTTCAGGGGTTTTATTTTCTTTTAACACATTCATCAACATGGTCACGTGCATTAGTACCTGCTATTGTATTCACATTGATTCTTTTAACTGTAGCTATAACAGGTATTTGGGGTATGCATACGCTAACAAATCGTTTATTTGAAAAACATACTTCACGTTGGACTCATTTTGGCATATGGTTACTTCGTATTGTACTCTATATAGTTCTTATGTGTTTATCACTAATTGTTGCACTTACAACAGCTCAACCATTAAGTTCACCAGCACTAGAAAGTTTAGTGCGTGCACAAGAACGTAATCTAAAATATCCGAATAGACCAGAAGAATCATTTTGGTCTAGTGTATGGCGAAGTATACGTGTTGCTATTATTTCATTACTAATTTCGTTTGGAATTTTTATTTTATTAACGTTTATAGAACTTTTTTTTCCACCAGCTGTTATAGTAACAATACCAATGAAATTTATTGCCACTGGTTTTATTATTGCTTATGATATAATTGATTATCCATTGTCATTGCATCTAGTTGGTGTGAAAGAACGTACGCCATGGTTTAAAAACTACTTATGGGCCACAATTGGCTTCGGTTTAGCTATGCAAATTATTTTTCTTATTCCAGGGGCCTTTCTTATTTTATTGCCTGCAGCGGTTTGTGGTGCAACGCGCATTGTTGTTGCTGCTGAAAGAGCATCAATTGATCAACCATTGTTACTTAATGATGAAGCTATTTGAAAGTTAGAGAAAAAACTGAACAGAACAACGATTTCCTTATTTTTTTCTATTTAGTCAGATTGATATTTCGATAATTATTTTTTTTTCTTTTAAATTTTTTGAAAATAGTGATAAACAAATTGTTGTGATTCAAATGAAAATTAGCATACTTTAATTATGTCATAAAACGATATGAGACAGCCTTAAATTATTTTATGGGAAATCGATTACAATGTTTTTCTTTGATCAAGGTCATGAAATAATTTACATGACTTTTTTGCTATGCAAAATAAGAAAGAGAATGAAGAAATTCTAAAAATATTTGTAGACTGTGGTAGAAAGAAACTTCAGAATTTAAGAAAGATCAACACTATCGAATAAACTGTTTTCTTTCATAGTTTGATCGTAAAAAATGTCTTTCTTCCTCAATCAATATCCAGTCAAAGCACATAATTTATGATCTTATATTTGCTTTTGATATGAAAAGTATTCTAAATGAATACTCGTGCATATACTTACATATATATATCTATATATGTCTGATATATTAATTCAACATCATCAAAAAAAAGAAAAACTAATCTAATAGGAAAATAATGTTTTATATGTAATAAGTGTTTTCGTGCATTAATGTGAATTTCTGTTTTTATTTTTATACACTTAGTAGAGTTTGTTAGTTTAGTTTTGCGACCATAAATCAATCGATGAGAATTAACAGCATATATCAGAGTACTATGTTAATACAATCACTAAATACATATCTTTCCCATAACCAACATTTATGCATCAATATCAACATCAAAATTTTGTCATGTATCGAATTGTATTGGGACAAAAAATAAAGTAAGTTACCACAAAAGCGGCTTCCTAAATCTGTTGTATGTTACCGACATCTATAATACTCTATTTTGTTATATACTCAAAAATCATTATGAGGATATAAATGCAATCTTTTTATTAGTTTCATTTGCATTAATCTGATATTTTGAATACATACATCGATAATAGAGGTGTCTACTTACTGCCTACTGCTCAAAACGAGACAAAGAACACATACACTACTCATTTCATTTCATTTAGCGCTACACTCAGTAACAGTTCACATTGATTGTAACGCTATATGATCCTTTGCATTCATCTTTTTCCACGTTATAAACGAACAAAGAGTCGTTTTTATAGGTTCATAGAATGTTGAACATAGTGATTAACCTATAAGAAGAGTGACCTTTTGACAAAAGAAAAATATGAAATTAATGATATGCCTGAACGTGTTGTTCTCATATTGCCATCATTAGTGGTATATAGCGACATAAATGTATAGTTAAAGTCATTCGAGTATAAGTTGGAGAAACAGAATAACGATGTTTTTTTGTTTTCACCAGTCATAAAACCACAAACGCACATCAAAACTATTTACTTTCTTTACATTTCGCAATACTATTCATTGTTTTATTTTAGACGACCGAGGTAACTTCAAGAAGTAAACGTTTAACTTCACTATTCAATTAAGAAATTGTTTTTTTTGAAAAACATAAAATGGCTAATCGATCATCGGCATCCTTACGAAGTCGTAATACTTCATCATCGGGTAATACGAGTGGACTGAATATTTCCCGTGCTCAAGAAAAGGAACAATTGGAAACCCTTAACAATCGTTTGGCTGTTTATATTGATACTGTACGCCGTTTAGAACATGACAATAAAGAATTAAAGGTATAACTTTGTTGCTATTGTTGTTTTTTTTGCTCTGCAAATATTTTGACCATGCATTTTATTTTCAATTAGAGTATCATCGCATCGTATAGCGATACGTATGAAGTTGAAACATCGAAAGTTAAACAATTATATGAACGTGAACTTGAAGATGCTAAAAAATTAATTGAAGAACTTGCAAGAGAAAAATCACGTTTAGAAATCGATGCTGAAAAGTCGAATGCTGAAGCACAAGATGCTCTAGCTAAGTATGTACATTCTTAATTCTATTATTGGTTATAGCGTTATTTTAATTTTTGAATATGATTTCAGACTTGCTCGAAAAGAACGTGAACTACGTGCTGCTGAAGGTCGTTTGAAGCAATATGAAGTCGAAATGGGCGAATTGAAAGCACGCAATGAAGCCATTGGATATGATGCTAATCGAAAGAGTGACGAGAATGTCGTAAGTGTAAAAACAAAAAGATTCCATAGATTATCGAAAAATTGAACACTAGGTTAAGCTGAGTTTTGAAACAAGGTCACTCCTTATTATCTAACCTGTGCACACAGTAAACAAAGAGGATTTCTTCGGAAGTACATATGTTGTTGTCGGATTTGTTAACAACAACACTTCAAGGCTATAAATAGTTGAATGAAAACTTATAGAAGATTTAAAGGTCAATTTTTAAAATCTGAAAGAAATTTATTGGCACTGAAATTATCATTAACATAATCAGAAATAGGGGATACATTAGTATAATTTTATCGGTAGAATATTTCCAGTAGTGTGAGAATTTTTTTGTTCATCAATGAGTATGGAAGAACGGAAGTAAAACTAGAATGCCGTCGATTCCGATGAAAATTTTTGTTGTCAGGAGACAAACTGGAGGTTATTCAGTGCATTTAGTTGACTAAATGCGAATATTCAACATAGAATAAGAAAGAGCATTTCCTTCAGCTTGCTAGTGTTCAATGATTGCAATGCATACTACATTTATTATTTACATCTATGTCTCTTTTCGTTTCAAGGCATTACGTGGTACAAATAATGATCTTGATAAACAAGTCATCGCATTGAAACGTCAACTTGAATCTGAAACACTTCTTCGTATTGATCTTGAAAATAAAAATAAAACTTTACGTGAAGAACTTCAATTTAATGAACAAGTTCATGAAACGGTAAATCAATGAAAAAGAATTATTGTTATATATGAAAATTTTCTTTTTAAAGGCTATTGAAGAAATTCGTAAACAAAAACATTATGAAGTTAGATCATTTGATGATGGTCTACGTCAGCAATATGATGATCGTTTATTAAATGAATTGCAAGAATTACGTATGCAAACTGAACAAGAAATGCAAGCTGTACGCGATGAAATAGCGTCACAATATGAAAAGAAAATTGAAGATTTACAAACAACAATACGTCGTAATGCAGATCAAACTGGTTCATATCGTTCGGATCTTTTATCTTACCGCGAACGAATTGAAGATGCAACAAAATCTCGTGATGCATTAAATGAAAAAGTAGTATCTCTTGAACAACGTTGTCGTGATTTGGAAGAACGTCTTCATCGTTCACAACAACGACAAGAAGATTTATTAGCTGAACGTGAAAATGATATTGAACGATTGAAACAACAAATTGAACAAATGCAAATCGATTATCAAAATTTACTTGATATTAAAATTGGTCTTGATAGAGAAATTGCAACATACAGAAAATTACTTGAATCCGAAGAAGAACGGTACATAGAAAATTCTCTTTTTTATGATGAGAAAAAAAGACTGACTGACTTTTTTTTGTTAATTATTTAGACTTAATATTTCTGGTAATTTATCGCGTATGGAAGCATCAAATACAACATATGAAAGTACTTCATATCCATCACGTAAACGTCCACGCTTTGATGTCGATGATCATCCATCAGTCAATACTCAATTACTTGATGGCATCAATATTATTGATGATGAAAGTTCACAAGCAAAATTTATTAAGTTAATGAATAATTCTAAACAAGATGTTTCTTTTAATGGATGGGTACTTAAAAGAAAAGTTGGTTCACAAACATATGAATTTAAATTTCCTAAAGGAATGGTTCTTAAAGGTGGTGCAACAACTACAGTAAGTTACAATTTGATTTTGATCGTATGGAATACTTATCGTGTTTGTTTCTAGATCTGGAGTTCGGATGTGAATGATATTTCGGTTGATCCTCCAACAAATTTAAAACTACGCACAGCAAAATGGTTTTCAGCTGGTAATGAAAGTAAAAAAACAATTTTGGAAGATTCAGATGGACATGTAAGTTTGCTTATATTTTGATTCACAATTAATTTCTCATGTTTGTTTCTTTTTCTTGTTTTTTAGGTTATTGCTGAGAAGACTGTCACTGTTAAATAAGCAAGAAGCAAACAAAATTTATCTATATACTGATTTGTTTATATGTACAACATTTCGTATTAATATTCTCGATGTAGTTTTTTGAAAATTTTTTGTCTCTATTCAACATGTGTGGTGTTTTGTTGTTGTTTTTTTTTAAAATTCTTGTGTCAGTAGGATGGATTAAAAAAAGAAACCGAATATTGATTTTTTGATGGTTTTTTTTCTTTTCTTGTCCATACATCAAATCTTATTTTCACGTCTCTTGTTTTCCTTAAACACAAACTGTATCGTGAACGTTCATCTGTTTGACTTCATTGTTGTTACTGTTTGTTATGGCCAACTTTCTTTGCTTTTCAATCCTGAACATTTATTATCTTCTCCCTTGTCGTTGTTGTCTTCGTCTTGGTAGCAAAATTAAACATGACTCAGAAAGATGATATTAATGTTATGAAATTTTCTTTCCACATTAAAACTACATAGGACCTAATGCAGAATCCATATATCAATGAAAACAAAAATAGTTTATTAGAAGTTCAATTTATATGTTAAGCTAGATCTAATCATTAAAGTAAAATGTGCGTGCTAAACTTTCTTGTCATGTATATGTTTATTACTATCAACAGTACGAAGTGAATAGAAAACGTTTGATGTCGATGAGTGAGTAGCGAATGAAAGGTCGCATTGATTGATAACATGATTTGATACTATCGTATAGTAAACGGCTACAAGAAATGCTTGTCATATAAATATCTCTTCATAAAAACACTACATTTCGCGATTGAAATAAAAAAAAACCTCGATTAATATTTTTGAAACTACCCCGACTTTACTAAAAATATTATCAAATAAAATGAAACCAATGTGACAAAAGTTGCGCACTCAATTTCGTTGCTTTTCACGATCAAATGAGAATGCGGTCCTCACAAGCCCTTTTTTCTTCATGATTGGCGTAACGCAATATCGTACTCATTTTGGTTGAAACTAGACGAACCGAAGCAATAGCAATAGATAATTAATTAGAAGAATATCTACCAATCAAACAAAATGAAGTGGAGTGAAACGTTTATTAAAAACTACATGCAGATACCTATGTATTATTCTTCTCTTCATTCGCATGTACATACTAAGGAATCACTTTTTTGTTATACTTAACTTTGTGATGAAATTTTGTTTTGGTTGACAAAATGCATATGTCTAAGAACATGGCAAGTACAGGTAAAACAATACTATCATAAAAATAGATCTGTTTTGACAAAGAAAAACATAGATAATAGAAGTAAGTTTGAAGAAAAATGCATAACTTTGTATTTTAGAATATTATCTAATACAATGTAGCTTATACTGATATTGTTGATCAACTTTAAGTTATTGTCATCATGATGAATTTAGAATCGATTGTAACAGTGGCCACTATCAATTACACTCTCTCATGAAATATATTAACGCCTTTTTCTCGATTGTTAAAATGAACAGTAATTTATGTTAAGAAGAAAAACACATATTTCTTCAGAGAAAAGAGAAGTGTGTATAGATTTGATCGAAATCACACATTCGTTAATATTTATCTTGAGCTGATGTGCAAATTTTTTCTAATTCACTTTCTTTGCATATCCTTTTACTGTTCATTTATAGCATGCACACCGCCTTTTAAGAATAGTCACATAGGACTACATTTTTTCTCAACTTCAGTTAAACCTATTTATCTTCAGTCAACAATTATTGCTATTGATAAATGATTTCAATTGTATGACAATAGTTTCTTTCTGTATCTATTCTATTTAGTACAAAGAAGAAGAAGAAGAAAAGTGGATATAAGCTCATAAATCGATAATTGTATGTTGTTGAATTTTTCGTTTTCGATTATAATTATTATTTTCAACGTTGATTATATCATCTATATTATGATATGGATTTACTGTTTGTTGTTGTTTATGGATATAGTTTTTTAATTTTTTATATTTAGGAAATATGCCAATCCAATTTTGACTTTCTAAATAACTAATATATAAATTTTGTGCTAGACATTTTCCAATTTGACGCAATTGAAACTTGTAATGAAAATAATCAGTTATTTTAATAAAATCAATATCTTCAATAATAAATACAAGATGATAAAGAAGAATATTATAAGATTCAATTTGATGCAAACATATATAAACGCGATCAAGTGAGCATTGTTGTTTTAGTGTATTATTTATATAGATTGATACATGAAAATCAAGTGGAGACAAAACAATACGTCTTTGTTTTAAATTTTCAATAAGATTTACACATACAAATATTGTTAATAGTCCAAATGTAAATAATAGCAGAAATTCTGAACCTGATATCCAATAGTCATCAATATGAAAACTATAATAAGAATATAGACCTAATGCAAATATTAATATTTGTATAATAATTAAGAGATAAATTGTTGACCAACGACGGTATTGGTATTCAAATGTAAACGATTGAGTATGTGTAAATGGATAATATGGATTTGAGCGAAAATTTTCAATTATTTTATCACCAAACTGTCAAAATATGGAAAATCTTAGATTTGATAAGAAAAGAAGATAAACGTACAGGATCATATGTTTTATGGACAATTGAAAATAATGATCGAATTTTGCTGATAAATCGATGGTGATATGATACGGCCATTCAACGGGGGAAAAGGTTAACTCCTCCATAACATTCAATGATTAAAATCAGTCTTTTCTTTTATTTTACACAATCTGTCATTTATAATCAATTGAAATGATTGACGAGCATCTTTATGATTCATCAACGAGTTTCGCGCGTCGAACATTCAGATGATTTACTCAGTGTAGTAAATCGATCGTTAAATATACAACAGACTACTTTTTAAACAATAGAAAGTAATCAAAACTTGAACTCGATGTTATTATCGTTTATGATTATTTTTCAGGGGATGAACTGGAATAAATGTTAATCGAAATATTTCTATGTCATTTGTCTTAGGATTCAATCTATTCACTTTTTGTTGATTTGTTGTTTACTTGGATTTTCGCTATATAACGGTTGATAAAACAGTTTATCATAGTTGACCTTCTTTTTGATTGTTGATTCTTCAGAATAGGATACAGAGACCAAAACCGATGACAAAAGTGCCATTCGATTCGATTTGGGTTTTCTGGTCTTTTTAAAATTGTAATTCGATTCGATTCGGCTAAAAACACGAAAAAAATCAATTCGATTCGATTCGACTCGACTCAAATTGGGTTTACAAAATATGGTATTCACTATTACATAGTATTGTTGTTTTCAGACTGTCATCGTCTTAGAATGAGAATAGTCTGTCGACCTTCTATAGAAATATGTTGAATAAATATAATTTATGAAGATATACATAAGAATTATTCATTTTTTTCAAGAAAGAACATAAAATATAAATTAATGAACCCATCTAAGTAGACTAATTAAATAAGTTTATTTTCTATAGAACGAAGAAAAATAATATCATTTACTGTATATGGATCTATATTTACAGTTGACCCTAGCCATACCTAATAAACAAAGAGGTTGATATCAAGACCCCAATCGCACTGGAAATGTGAATAAAGTTAAAGTCTTATTCAGTAATCTAATTGTTACATTAAGAGTTAAAATCACCTGTAAAGTATTACTTAACTCTTAATGCACCAGTCACATGGCTTAATTCAACTATAATGTTAATTTACTTCTCAGTGTGATTGGGGCCTAAATTGACTAACGAAAAAAGAAAGAAAGATGGAACNCTAATTGTTACATTAAGAGTTAAAATCACCTGTAAAGTATTACTTAACTTTTAATGCACCAGTCACATGGCTTAATTCAACTATAATGTTAATTTACTTCTCAGTGTGATTGGGGCCTAAATTGACTAACGAAAAAAGAAAGAAAGATGGAAACGCTCGTTGTAAGTGAGTATTTCTTATGCCAATCAAAATGCACTTGACCATGATAACGATATGAACAGAACAAGGACGATCATTAAATAAGCACGACTGACAGAGACAAAGAAAGAGAAACAGTGGACGTCGTTTTTCATGCGTCATCTCTTATACTAGTCAACTGCCCTCGACCATAACACCAGAACAAAGAAAATGATTTTGAATAGCCGAATAAAACTGAAAAAAAATGAATCGATTCGATTCGACCTCTTTTCTAGAAGTATCATTCGATTCGATTCGGCTTTTTTTCAATTTTTTTTTATTCATTCGATTCGATTTCGGTCTGTGATAGAATACATGAAGATTTATCAAAAATTGTACTTCTAAAGTTTGACAATGAAAAGATTGACGAGAATAGCTCAAATTATTTTATTAGTGTTGATTCTATTGTTCGCGAATGTTTATGAAAGCCGAATGGCGTGGAAGGTAATGAAGGACGATCTATACTTTCGAGTGTATGAGACGTAAACTAAATCTTTATCCATAGATGTGAACAAGATAAATTTGAAAACTGAGGGCGAGAACTTTTCAAGGACAAAGATACAACAGGATTTAAATGTTGACATCAGAAAATGTTCGAAATTGATTGAGTTCAAATTTTTTTCAGCAAGAAATCTTCAAGAGACTGATATCAATACTAGTATCGGACAATAAATTAAATTTTCGTGAATGGTTGATGCTCTGATACGATGCTTTTTTTAAGAAAATGCCACGCTTTGTTATCTTTAGCAGCAGTACGAGAGATCCCAATCGTTGTGAGCTACTGTTTTGTGATTGAAAATACTGAAACAATTTTCATAATGATTCGTAAATATACTATTAAAAGAAATTTGATAGAATGTTGCATGTGACAAACGAGCCAATTGTGTCGTACCTGACATAGTAACTGGAATTATTCTGTTTAGTAAAAAAAACATATTTTCATTCCGCTCCTCCATAATCAATTTGTATAAAGAGAATAAAGTGCGGACAATTGAGTTTACTTGAAATATCATCGAGATTCTTGTAATTTCATTTATTGTCGTTAACTCGCTAATATTCGTTTAATTTTTTTACTTATAAAAAAAGCAGTCTATCACTATCTTACTTATTCTACAAAGAATAATTCTTGAATTGAAAAACGTTCGAGTGAAACGAAGCTATTTTTGTAGAAAATAAAAGTCTTTTGAGTGCTGTTTTCCATTATATTCTATGGTGGTTTTTATGGCAAATTTAATATTGTACTTTCAGACATTGATAAATATTATAGATTTCCATTTCAATTATCATAGAGTATTGGCACCATGAAATAAAACACCAAAAAAAGAAAAATAGCTTCCAAATGCTTTAAAATAATAATAATTAGTACACACTGCTATTTAGTTTTTCCTTACGTACTTGTATACTCTTCGTTCAATATCAAGTTTATCTAAATTTTCTGGATTCTTAATATTGATATGCATCTTTTTTGTTGTATATTTTTTTTGATAATAGAAGTATTTCGTTTCTTGAAATATACTTTCAAACATGAACTCGGTCGATTTGAATACGATTCATCGGTTATTTATTATAAATATATCAAGAAATAATGACATGTTTTGAAGTTTTCTAACAAAATCTATTTAGAAACATCAATTATTGCATCAGTCTTATATTTTCTTATTCGATACAAAATTTAGAATTTCAATTTATACTATGAAACATCGTAAAATTTGATGACGTTACACAGCCTTGACAATAAACAAAAATAGATTTTGTTTAATTCTTTGTTATTTGCGAAATTTTACCGTTTGAAAGGTGGAAAAAATGAATTTCTTTTTCGATTTCGATTCTCAATCACCAGAACTGACTGTAAGATTTATTCAAAGTTAAGAACGTATTTCGACCTACCCACACGAAACCTGGATAGTTGTCAAGTATTTATACATGCCAGTTAATAAGCGCAATGTAACATTCTTTCTTAATGCTACGAGGTTGTCCTTGAGAAAAACGAGCCTGAGTATTTCTTTTTCAAATGTTCTATGCAATTAGAGCAGCACGTGCAAGTATTTTATTCAACAATTTTTCTACACAATACGCATGGTGAGGTTCTCAATTGAAATACTTCATAATTAGACAGGATCCAGGTTTTTTATGTATTTATTTTTGTTAAGACTTTCATTGAAAGAACGTATATTAATGTCGCAATAGCTACTTAAAATTCATGAAGTACATGGCTAGTTTTTATGTATTCACTTATAACTACTTCAAACGTTTCTAGTGATTCAGATTCCGGATGCACTGAGTTCTAGTGTGCTAAAACAATATTGTTCTCAATATTCATGATGTAACGTGATATTCTAGAAAAAAGCACAATACTGTGTTTAAAAAAATCTTAACAATAATATTTTGTTATTGGTTCGATTGGTGAAATAGTGATTCATCATATTCTCATAACAATACTAATAGATTTTTTTTCTGTTGTAGTCAAAATCATTTTTTTGTTCTCTATTCAACTAATAGGATGCGATAAAAAAATCAATTATTTGCACAATTTCCAAGACAACAAGCTGACACTATTAACTGTTATTTTTGTATTTACTCTTGACGTATCAGTATGAGTGTCCTTGACAAGTGGTATTCCTAGTTACGAATATTTCTCTACTGTTTCTTTAAAGACAATCTAAAAATAATGCTGTGTAAATTAACTAGCGCCCCCATCACCATACCTGTCAAAGTTCATTTACTCATTGGTTATTGAATAAACTCCAATCCGCATCAACCAAGAAGTTTTCCCAAGCCAACACTCACATAACAGAACAGAACACACGTATACATATGTACACTCTCATACGTACATTTACTTTTGTGTTATGCATCGATGCATTCGCGTTGTAATATATCCTTATTCCTTGCAGACAATCTTATCCTTGATTTATTTGCTCTATTAATCAATGGTGTGATTAAAGTTAAAGCGAATGAAACCTTTTTTCTTTCTTTTCTATTTCTTAGATTATATTTTATTTCCTATTTTGTGATCCAAAATTACATCGACTACTTAACAACACAATTATAATATAATGTTCTCAGTACTAATTCGAACAAATAGACAATCATCACATAATATTTTTTATTTTTTACATACGCTCTTTATACTATATGCATGCACAGCCTCTTTTACTACTGTCAGTGCACTCAATAATCATGAAAATGAAGGTAAAAACCAATGATTTTTATGTTTCAAACAAATTTTATAATCTATACGCTTAGCATTTATTCAACTATCGGTTGATTCAATACATGTTGTTAAACCGTCCGATCCCCGATTTGCAGTAAACATCTTTAATTAAATTTAGTTTTCTTATGCGTTTTGTTTTATTTTGAATATCCAATAGAATATTGAAGAAAATTCAAATGATGATGAAGAAAAAGAACTTCTTATTGCATTATTAACATCATTTGATGATGATCATACAAATGTCAAACAAAATGATATTGGAAAACTGTCGGAATTTACATACGATAATAAAATTTTTATAAGTAATAATTGTACATCATCATCTTCTTCATCGTTATCAGTTGCAGCAACAGCATCCGAATCATCTTCATCATCATCAATACGCTTTATTCCACCTTTACTTGATTTTGGTGAACAGTAAGTTTCAATCCATGGATCTATTAATTTTTCTTTCATCGAAAATTTTAGATCCATCGCTATTCCACGCATACAGACTGTTATGATAATTAATGATGATTCAGAGCCACTTGAACTTCAGTCATTATCGGGAACAACAGTTCAATTTTATTCATCATTTTTTACGCAGAAAATTCTTCCACCAAAGGGTGGTAATACATCCATCAGTGTATATTATCTACCACGAACACTTGGTAGTACAAAAAGTACATTTACAATAAAAACAAATCTTCGAACTGTACATTACTACGTAAGTATTAGCATTAAATAGATTCTTTTTTCCCCATAAATTAATTCATCTATTGCTCTATTGAAGGTTACTGGTATTGGTACGTCAAATCCATTTCTTATAAGACCATTAATTGGTGCAACAATACCATTAAATTCAACATTTGAATATATTATAAATTTTTATAATCCATATAATTATTCACTTCATATCAATGAAATTTTCACAAGTGATGAAAATTTAATAATTGAATTATTATCATATAAAACACAAAAAACTAAAATAATAAAATCATTTGAACATATCGAACATTGGCATTTGAAACCTTATGAAAAAAAGCCATTGGTGAAAATCAATTATCTAGCCTATAAATTAGATCGTTTACATGGATTTTATTGTATTAAAACAAATTCTAATGATACAATTATTGTACCTGTTGAAATAAATGTTGTAAATCACTTAAATATTTATTCAAATGTTGATCTATTAGAATTAAGTTCCGATGGTTTCATACGATCAACAGCTAGACCTATAACTGTACCAGTCTATGTGATTAATAATGGAATAACTCCGGTGACCATTACTGTAAGTAGATTCAAAACTTTCTATTGAAAATAAGTCACATATTCATTTTTTTCCTGATATACAAAAACATCACAAGAGTCTTTTCTTCTCTACATGACTGAATATCAAGTTCTCATCTCTCAAGTAAAATATTTCGAAATCCCAACCAACAAAGTTCTATGATGAGTCACTTATGAATCAGTTCAGATCAAGTGCATCGTATTTGCATACGTTTGTCTTTCAAAGAATACAGAATGATATATTTTCAAACAAAAAAATTTCAATGAATAAAAATAATTAGCAAAGCCTGGAGCTATAATTGAGAAATGTACTTTATCAGAACATTTCGCTCGTGATCCTTTTTTTCGAATCTAAGTAAACATAATTGTCAAGTCTTCTCGACTTACAAGTATATTTGGTTAGAATATTTTTGCAGTTTGTACATTTCTGCATACTTAATTTATACGCTTGAAACAAGTTAATATGCTAGCAAACGTCGTAAATATTTATTGAATCGTAGTACAGATTTTGTCGTGAATAAAAAACTTTATTTACCTAACTAACGATCTATGTTCGTCATCATGTATTAGTGGTATCAGGACAAGAACGTTGTTATCTATTTATTTTAAATTCTGTATACTTCACATTGTGACATGTTACTATGCCGTTCTCAGGAAAAGTACCTGCGATATTCCTATCGTTTATGTTTTTATTTTCTATAAAAATTCGTGGTTATGATTAATTCTAGGTTAAAAATATTGCTTTTCTAATGTATCTCTTTTAAAACGACAAACTTCATATTTGAAAATAATATCAACAGAAATTCTATTCTTTAGAATGTTCGAGTTACAGTAGCAAATATGAATTATGCAACAGTTAACCATGAAAAGGTTCAAGTACCAACTGGTATTTATCATTTAACTAAAATAGCAGAATTAACCATTCATCCACATTTAATTCCGCGCGATATGACACGCCTTCGTGGTTCAGTTGAAGTATACTCATCATCATCATCATCATCATTGAATGATGAAGAACCTACATTACGAATTCCATTTCGTGCAACAGTTTTACATGGTTCACTTGATTATGATAAAGAAGCAACGTATTTTTACATTCCATCACTTTCAACTGATGAATCATACGATAAAATAGAACAATGTCGACCAATTAAATTAATAAATCGATTTAATACATCCATGGTTATGTATAATGCAACGACCGATGCAACAGGTTTACTTTTACAATATATGAATGTATGTTACTAATAAAACATTATTTCCATAATGTGTTAATCAATCGTTTATTATTTTCTAGATCAAATTTTATTCACCATATGTATATGTACGTCCAGGCGAATCAGTTTTTCCTGTATGCTTAAATATACTCAAACAAACAGTATCAACTGCGTCATTAATTACTTTGGAAGCATCAATTATATTGCATACAAATCTTTCGTTTTTTCACATGCCTATTCATTTGTATAGAGGATTACTTAATGTAAGTTGTACATATCGTTTAATTATTTTTCGTTCAAATTAATATTTCGTTCTTTTTCTATTCGGAAAAGATTAAGAATTTAATTTAATTGGCTTATTTTATATCATTTCGTTGTTATAGGATGTTAAAATTTGAGAAACAGAAATTAGATATGGAATATTTAACTTAAATCTGTAACATTTTATTATACTTAAAAAAACAAGCTATAAATTAAGACATACGTAAATCACATCACAAGTTGCGAGTGTACTTGTTAGTGTTTATCTTATTGAAACGTAAACAGTCATTAACTGTTAATTTCTTTTTGAGAGAAAGATAAATAGATTTTTTTTGTCATTAGAAAAACTAAAAAGAAAAGATTGAATCACAAAAAAAGAATGTTACATCAATCGCCCTAATTGACTGCAGCCTCTATATTAAAATTACGCTACTTTGACCTTGAAAGCTGTACATGTATTTTATCAAGATTTCAAATAATTTAATATGATTCGCTTGTCTTGCATTTGACATTTCTTGATCGTTTAATTTAGAATCACACTTGAAATTAGAAAAAACGAAGGTCTCTGATCGATTGATTACTTTTGTGTTGAGACTATAGTATACATCATTGTGGATATGGATGAATTATGATTATTACGAAAAGAGTTTTTGACCTTCACTTTTAGCTGAAAATATATTGTGATTTTATCAGCACCTACTTCATTGTTCTAGAAGTCATTAGAAAATTTTATTGTTTACTCGTTAACAATATATGCTTTTGAAAAGGCTTCAGGTCATGCCATTGTTTCTATGACAAAATAAAACTATGCTAAAAGTGTGATGTTAAGATCAGTCATACAAACTAACATTTATCATGTTTGAATTTAAGCATAGATGCAGATCGAAAGACTTGAAATTTTCACAATAAACTATCTCTATTGTAGTTTGTCTCTATGTAAAATTTGAAAATCCATTTTTTTGTGAATCCAAGAAAACAAAATATGAACTATCTCTTCACAGTTTTCATAAAATATTTGAATCTAATTAGTTTCAACTTGCTTAAAACGATGTTTTTCTTCTATTTCAATTGACTTTGTTTTTGTTGATAATCATGTAAATTAAAACGAATATTTATTTGATTTAGATTGATCTCACTGCTGACAATAGCAACAGTGGTATTAGACGTAATGATGTAAATCCATCAGAATATTACATAGCAAGTATACCGGTGAACTCATCACGTACAGTAAAATTCATATTGAAAAATACAAATCCAATCGATATACCGATTGAAAAAATATCTTTAACGTTACCAAAAACAAATATTCGTCTTATTCAGTTACAATTATTAAATGGCAGTGAAACAAAAGTATCATTCAAAAGTTTATATCAAAATGAAGATATTACAGAAGTAAGATGATATATAAAGCAAAAACAAAAATTATAGTTATCTTTCATTGAAGCTTGTTATTCCTGCTCGTCATCAAGCAGTATTAGCTTTAACAATTCATGGAACAAGTGATCCATCATTTTACGATGAAACACTATCATTTAAAACACCCTATCAAGTAAGCCAAAAAGAAAATAAACAATCAATTACTTGCTCCCTCATATTCTTCTTTTATTGTTATTTTGTTTTTATAGAATCTTGATATGAATGTAAAATATCGTATTGTCAGTGCGTCGATTGAACTTGAAAATAAACTTCCGTTACATATCGATGCATTTCCTGTAAGAAAATATTGTTTTTCTAAAACTGAAACATTTTGTTGTTTTTTCTTCGTCTTCTTGTCTTAACTAGAATCGTATCGGCATGGTAGATGTTGTTCTAAATAATGGATTTGATGAACTAACAGAAATTTTACGTGTAGAATTTCTCTCATATGGTCAAAGTTTTTCATTCTATTGGAATAATACATCATTTGGCAAACTGATTATTCAACCAAATCAGACTTATCTAGTATGCAGCTATACTTTTCTATTGATTACCCTTTCATCTCTTTTATTTGATTTTCAGATTGGTAAACTTACCTTTGACATGCGACCCTTGTGTAATAGTATAGTAGTACCATCGGAATCGACATGTTATTGTGGCTTAAATAATCATCCGGAATATAAACAAAAATGGAAACAACATACGACAGCATTAAATAATTATGAAGTTGATCATATACTTGTATCGAAATTTCGAAGTCTATGGCAAGATTGGACGTCACTAGTTCGAAAACAGCGGTAAGCAAAATAGGAGATAATCATGTGTTGTTTATGTTTTATTGATTTAGAATTCAAACAAATATTTGGCTTGTGACAGATCAAGCTAATATGTCATGGCCAGTAACAATTGGTTTTGTTTGGCCATCTGTATTGGAACTTATGTCACCAACGGTATCTCGTACACCAATTATTCTTGATTTTCATCTGACTCATATAAATACAGCAAAAGTGAATTGAAAATAAAATTTCAAAATTTTGATTCAACAGTTTTCTTTCTAGACACAAAATATTATTATTACAAATCCTTCGTCTAATATTGTTCAATATTCTATTGAACTTATCGGCAATTATGAAAACACAAGAAATAATAATAAAAAAATAGCTGTTAATAATAATAACATATTCATTATTGCAACAGTACGTATGAAAGAATCAATTTTTTCTTTTTATTAAAAAGACTTCAGTCACGCCGAGAAATCTAGGTGAAAAATTTGATTATTCCAAGCACAGCGCCAGCCCCCCCCCCCNGTAGAGTACTTTGAAGTACTTTTCAACTTCAAATTCACTTGAAGTTACTTGCAATTACTTCAAGCTACTTTGGACTACTTTGAGCTACTTTGAGTTACTTTAAGCTACTTTAAGCTTACTTCAAGTAAAGTACTTTGATGTACTATTCTACTTCAAGTCTGCCGTTTCCCCCTTGAATTCCCCTCAGGCAAATATGCAAATGTAGAATTTGATTAGTTACCATTGAAGTTTTCCAATAGTCAATGATATTAAAATTATTTGAATAAAAATACATTAGATGCATTCCTTCTTTTAAAAAATGAATAGGTTTTGTCAGATTATTGATTAGCTAAAACTGTTTATTACGGCAACAAAAAAATTCCATTTCAGTTTTGTGTTTATCTATTAACAGTTTATATAAGATAAATGTTGATTGTCGACTAAAGATGAATGTGGATATTTTCGAGATTCAGTGTTTGATACTTTACTTTCATTTATTTGCTTCAAAAATCCTAAACAGATATTATTCATTTAGTATAACGAGACGATATTGAAATAAGGTTTTTATCGGTGGCGTTAGTCGCGAATCATAATTTTTTGTAAAAAAGTAATATTTTTATAGTACTTATTATATCTACGTTAGCTGCTTCTAACATGTTTTTTCATGGTCTAATGATTCTACTTACACGAGACACGAAGGTCTAAATATTTCTACATTATCTACTTAAGCACTGGTTAAAAAGAAAGCATTGTATATTTTCATTTTTTTTCGAATCGTAAGTGTCTTGAGTATTTCATTTTTAGTATTGTATCCATTATACAAATTAAAAGAATCTTATCTGACATTTGACTTTTGTATGATAAATGTTGTCGTAAACAAAATTGTCTGTTTTTCTCTCATAGACGTTTAAAGGTGTAGAGTTATTAAATGGTATATACAAATTTAGTCTTCAACCTGATGAAAATATAATATTTACTGCATCATATCGACCAAAGCTAACAAGAAAACACGAAATATATCTTGTTGTTCGGTATGATGGTTTTTTTCGTCACTTGAAATCAAATAAAAATTTATTTTCCTATTTCTTTGTTTAAGGAATAATTTGACTATCATGGAATCAATACTTTTACGTGGAGAAGGTGGAAAGGGTAGTTTAACAGTTGGCAATCGGAAAGCTGGATCGTCCGATATTCCACTGGTTCTAGAAATGAATGAAAAACAGTATAAACTTTGTTCAGGTATAAAAAACAAAAATTTATTTTTGAAGAAAATTTTATTATTATTTTTTTTATTTTGTCGTCAAAAGATTATCTTTCCACGGGTGGTACCAGCGGAAATCCAGTATTACAAAAAATAGTCACACTACGCAATACGGGAAATATGAAAGCAGTGATTCATAGCATATCATTTGGCGATGCCAAGTGTTCAGGACAAGGTTTTTCAGTTAATACATGTTCTAATATTGAAATAGAACCCAACGAAAGATACGATCTTCGTATTCGGTATATATAGAAGACAACATTTGCTTTTGTTTTTTAACAATATTTATTTTTTTTCTTGTTTTAGTTTTCAACCGGATTATACATTAGCTGAAATAGCTGAATCTTTAACATTATTTACAAATATTGGTTCTATGACATTTCCACTCATTGTTCGAATTCCACAACGTGTTTTAGCCACATGCTATCAGACTATTCCACGTCCTGTATGGGAATCACAAATGCATTGTTTTTGTTTATGTGCTATTTCAGTTTTAATTCTATGTATTTTCACTATGGCTGTCTACGAAGCGCGTAGATTATTTGACGATGTAGATAACCCAAATTTAATATTTTTAATAGAACTTTCCTATTCTTATTATTTGTGTTTTTCTAGTATTTGGCACGAGCAGAACTACGCAGCCGTTTGTCAGCAACAAATCCAAAACTATTTGAATTTACTGATATTACTGCAGCTGTACAAGATGAACATAAAATTCGGTATGAACATGGGAAACTTGTAAATAATCGTATAACATATTTTTGTTTTTAGTGAACGAAAGGAATCACGAGCATCTACAAGTTCAATAAATACTAAGAAGGACGTACCAAAAGATGAAATTAAAACAAAAGATAACGATACTAAAACTAAACGTTCTAATTCATCAGTTAGCGGAAATAAAGATATAATAGAAGCAGTAGTGAAAGTAATTGAAAACTTTATTTTTTTTAAATATACTATTTTTACTTTTAAATAATGATCTATAGACATTACAAAAATCGGATGGACCGAATATAGCTTCTCGGCCTACATCGACTAGTTCAAAATCACTTCCACAGAAACCAAAACGATCAATAACGGATAGTTATCCCGGAAAGGTAAATTATGAATCGAATTCTCGAAGAAACTAAAATGAGATATTACTTCAATTTTTTATATACATTCGATAAGATAGACATTAAAATATTTACAACTAAAACAAAAATTATCATAATGAATATCTATTCTAATATATATATTTCTCCTGTTTTAATTTTTTCCCCGTCAATTTCAGTCTTCTAAACAACAAACTGAAGTATCAACTAAGCCCAATCAATTAAAAGCACAACGGTCAAATCATACAGAACAATCTACAGTAGTAACATCAAGTCCATCAATACCTCCTTCAACTAATTCAGCAACCACAGTAACAGATGAAGAAACTGAACCATTTGTAGTATGATAGGAAAAGTTTTGACATTGACTCTTTAAAACTTTCTATTTCTCATAGATTCCTCGACCAAAACGTTATCTCAGTAAAACTAAAGAAGTAACTACCAGTATTATTCCTGTTAAATCAGCATCCATTACAGATGGTATTGTTCCTGTACAACCGACACCTTCACTTCCACACATATCTCCACCGTCATCGTCAACAGTAATCGAAAAATCATCGACTCGCTTGGATCTTTCTGAACAACGAAAAGATCAACAAAATTTATCTCGATCAACCGATTCACTCAATGATCAACAATGGCATCGAGTTAGTTCTAGTCGCGGACTTCGCAAAGCAGCTACAACTAATCGACGAGAAGCAACTGATGAATCTCAAACAGCAAATAAAACAAATAAAATAACATCAAATAATACCGGTAAATATATTTCTAAAAAAATATTGAATATAACTTTTTATGCACCGACTTCTTTTGAAATTTTCGTGTATTTGTATACACTACACATATTCTTTACATTTCTGCTAGCCATTCTTTTCCATTTACTTCTGTTTGATGTTGTTGTGCTGTGTTTCCTATCAGTTTTTTCTTCTTATAGAAAATCCAGTGGCAGTGTCATCATCAGCAACGCGTAACACATATGCTTCTATTTCTAGCCAAATGTCACAGTCACGTCGTCGGCGCGGACGACACTTGACTCGTGGTACTACATCGTCCACGCATGTTTCTAATTTGACAAAAAGACAGAGTTTACAGACTAATACACCATTCAGTGTTCATAATCGAGAGCTGGCATTTCGTCAGCTAGCTGAACAGTTATGGGCAGCTGGATTGCCGTCATCAGCGACAGCATCTTCCTTATCTATACGGTCACGTTGTTCATCAGCACCACCATCGGAACGTGGTGGCGATGACGACATGACAATAGTCACATGGAACAATCATTGTAATGATGAACAAGAAAATATGATCGATTGGGATGAACCAGATAAACCAGATGATGGTAATAGTAGCGTAAAAAGAATGATAACTTATACATTCTACTATTTTACATATATATGCACGTGGAACGCTTCTATTATTATTGATTTTACCTGCTTTGCCCGCTTGAATACCCCAAACCATAGATGAATATAGATGTAAAAACGCTTTTTGCTTTAATTACATCATTGGTAACTAAATTGTATGCAATAACGAAATCGAAGGAGTGCTTCTTTTACAATATTTTCTTGTTCTTGTTTTTCTCTAGAGTCTTGTTGAAATAAGGTGATGGTGTCATATGTTTTCGTCTAGATATTTTATTTTTTCATTTTTTTTCATGTTCTGTATTCTACCTATTTTTTACTTTCTTCCTACCTGACCGTATAAAAGACAACGTCTAACTCATGTCTCATTCGAGACCAACCAGAGAAACGAATAAAATAGTACACTTTAATAAATTCCTTTAACTTACTTTTAAAAAAGCGGCACGTTTCTCTGCTATTTAATTTAACGCACGCTTTGATTTTTCTTTAAAAACTTTAATTTAAAATGCTTAATTTAATATCTTTTTCACCATCGAGTGAGTTTCCAAATGTATATTTGAAAATTAAAACCGTTTTTGAACTATCTTTCATAGACTTCAGTCGATATGTTTCACAAGTGGAATTATGTGTCGATGAACCTAATGATAATAATGAATGGACAAAACCACCATCGCCATCGCCAACAACTAATGATAAACCATCATTTATATCTATAACAACGACAGCAACACCACCACCGTCATCAATAATAGAAGGAAATATTTCACCAAACGTAACAATATCTGCAATTGCCATTGAAGACAAGTAAGACAAAAACTAAAATTTTTACAATCTAAATGTCAATATAATCATTTTTGCTAGCGTTGATTCAATACCATTTGTTCAACATGGACCAGGTCCCATACAACGTCCAACTAGACCTACAAATCTGCCAACACAACAATCACGATCATCTCCATATTTTATAAATTCTATTCAATCACCTGAAACACCTGATGTAATTGGTCAAATCTATCGTTTCTTGGATCATCAAAACAGTGCAACACCAACAGTATCATCAACACCAAATGCTAACGATTCGTCGGTACCAATAAATGATTTAGCAACACCTAATATGGCTTGGACCACATTTTTACCATCAACGTGGGCATCAAAATATGAATCATCGTGGCCATCAACAAGTATTCAAAGTCCAGCAGCATCATTAACAACACAAGTACAAAATCCATTTGCACTTATGACATCACTCAATAATCAACCACAACAATCAACAAGAGAAGACTCATCTGTTTGGTCAGCAATTGGAGGTGCATCAACACCACGTTCAATGTCATCAAGTTTACGTACACAACGTATTTCAGAATGGAATGAATTCTTTTCAGCCACTGTACCTTCATCTACAGAATCAACAAAATCAACAAATAGTTCTTGGTTAAAATTTTGGTCTGCACCTGATCCGTCAACTTCTGATGGTGTATCATCAAATGGACATGAAATCGAACCAAATAATGCAGTAAATTGTTTTTTGTTTTTTCAACAGGAAGTTTTCTTTTTCTTTTTTTTCTTTCGTTTTCAGTTTTGGAGTTTAGGCACGTTAACCAATGAACCAGTGATTCCTTCGACAGCAACAAATCAACAGCAAAGATCGCCATCTACTTGGTGGCCAAATAATGCATCCTCTGACGAAAACAATAATAATAGTCAAATAAATCATTTAAATGATGATACAATAAATAATCGTGATCGATCTCGATGGGATTTTGCTCGTTAAAGATAAAACATTTTCTGCTTGATATTTATTCACCCGTGATGACTATTTGACGCGATAGAGCATAAAAATATATAGAAAAAAAGCTACTTATCAATACTGATTCTTTTTCTAGATTGGGTTTTTTAAGTTACTAATCATATTGTAATTGTGCATAAAAACAAAATCTCATGGATAATACTGTTGCGCAACCTTTTTTTCTTTCTTTTTGTGTAAAGTGTGCAAAAGAGTTTAAAAAAACAAGAACAACAATCATAATTAAGTAAAAAATTTAAATAAAACTTAAAAATATTTTATTTTTATTCTTGTTTTGCAAAATACAAATGAAACGAAGCATAATAGAACGAACTATTACGATATGTAATCGATTTATTTCCGGTGAATAACAATCAAAAGTCAAGTTATAAAAATGTACTTTTAGGAAATGAGAATATGAATGAATTTTTGCTAAGAATTTTTTGAAGTATCTTATCAGTGAATGTGCTCGTTCATACGAAATAATGCATTGAAAGTAAATCAGATTTACGCATACAAATTGTTGAATAGTCAATTCTATTTTGACGCTTTCTTATCGTTGATGCAGACAAACAAAATAAAATTCTACTATAATGAAACTGTTTTCAATTTATGTTGGATATCAAATTCAAAGTCTTATGCGTTTCCTGTGTCTAACGAATAAAGTTTATATTTAGTCTTTTTTCAAAATTTGATTAATCAGAACACACAGTATTGAATTCTTTCATTTAAAGAAAAGTCTATGGAACTTTCAAAGGACGTAACATTACAACAAAAGTTGTTGATCTAGATAGCTTGCGGTGTAATATTTGCGAATCTAGATGTAACATTAAATAAGAGCGCTGTTTGTACTAATTAGTAATGAACAAGTACCAATTGACATGAATTTATCTGTATATAAGAAACGATCTTGAAAGTAGTTTTCACCAATTAAATAAAGTACGCTGATTGGTTAAACTTAAAATGAGTTTAGTGTAAGAGAGAACGTAATACTTTCGATAGTCATTGACTAGCTGAATGGTTTTTCTTGTTATTGGTAAATTAATGCATGAACAATATGTGTTATCGAATATCGACTATGACTACTTGATACACATGATTATTCATAAGAGATGAGATCTGTCTAAATCTAGATTTCAGAGCTGTCTTTACTTGAATATTGTTGTTGGCTTTTTTATTTTTATCTATTAACGCTACTACATCCTCGTTAGTTTGTGATCATTGATTAGTTGCATGCTTGATTCTATATTATAATTGCACAATTCGATAGCGTGTTTAAATTAAAAAAGCAGAGTCGTGTGACATCTATAGTAATAATCGTATATATCAATTAACTCGAAAGGTTTCCGTGTGTGTTGTTCAGTTCGCCATACAACTATTGATTATTTCTCAAAGGACTTCCCTATTGTGTATCATCAATCCATTAGAACAAAAAATGATTAGCCATAATATTCAGATGAATAAAAAAAATGCGTACGTAGCACATCTAACAAATGTCAAAGATTTGTCTTTTGCTTCATACTATAAATGCGTCAGTTTAATTAAACTAAGCAGAATCATGTTTAATAAAAAATGTTCTTTCATTTTAGTGTATTTTATTCTGTTGACAAACAATATTTATTTTTATATGGCATAGTATATTTAAATTTCTCGAAAAGCAGATTTCCTAAATTTCCATCAGTTCGATAACTACAATTATATACAAAGCAAAAGTTTTTTTTTATAGCTACTAGAAATTTGAATACTTTTTTTGGCAATTTTCTATAATTACGGAAAGCGCAGCAATATAAGAAAGTTTCGAACAATTTAAAATACAAATAATTCAATTTAAAAATTTTTTAAATAGCTCTGAAATTTCCTATTATGAATATATGGACACTAGTATGTATCTCACCAGGTTGCAAAATTGAGAATCTCAGTAAATATCTACTTTTTGCAAGACTCATTACTCTTTAATGTGTCGAAACGTACAACAGCTGCTTGTGATAATACAACAGAATAAACTAATTTTTGTTTTTGTAGAGTTCTCAATTTGCAGGCGAACAATTAAATGTTGATTAGATTCCTAGATCTGACTCATATAATACTGCTGAATTGATGAAAGTGAATCGAAATTCTATATAGAAAAAAGTTTAATAGGGAATAATTGATCATTTAAAATTGTCAGCATTGTATATTTCAAATGTAAATGATACTTATTTCATACCGAGCTGTAAATTGACTAATTTTCATTCTTTGACGTATGAAATTTTCAATAGTTACTCAATGCGCATGACTGAGATGATCATCTATATATAGTTAGTTATTTTCTTAAAAGATTATTTCACTCCGAAGTCATGCTAAGAAAATGAGTAGTATTTTTCATAAACGGTTGTCATAATCAAATAAATATGAGATACAATGTCATTATTGAAAGAGCAACTTTGATCGCTGCCGAGTACCTGAATTTGCGATATATATATATATCAATGTAAGTCAAAACATGGAAAATAATATTGCAAGTTTTATTATATAAATGAACAGATAACTAAATAATCTATGCGTAAATATTAGCAGTATATCAATTACTTTTGATTCATTTTCAATAACACTAAGCCGATACTTGTCTGAATAATCAACTTAGATAATTAATGAACATTAAAGTAACAGTTCTAATCATTTTACAATAAAACACTGCAAAATCTTATACAGAACTTGATGAGAATTTTGTTCACGTTCTAATAAATATTCATGTGTCTTCATATGTCAGCGTATGTAATGCTCCAATAAGTTTTAATATTGATACCAGCTGGTGCCTGACGTATATGAATGGAAGACCTAAAATACAAGCAGCACAATGGCTTCGAATGAAACCAATACAACTATTTCTACACCAGATATTACATGTAAGTGAATGCAAAAGTAAAATATTTAAAAATTCATGATTCTCTCCATCGTATATTTGTCGATAAAAACTATTTTTTGTCTAATTAAAATTTTAATGAATACTCAAGAATAATTATATATTAATTCTTCGAGTAAAGAGTACACTTTATCGAACATAAATATTTATGTATTACATGTCAAAAAGCATGCATCAAAAGATTACGATAAATTTATATAGTTTTTTTCTTTAACCGGAACAATTACGAGGTTGAATAAGTAATTATTATATATATATATAGATCGATAGATTAGACTTTATATACCAAAAAGAAAACCAGCTAAAAACATGATAAATAACGCGTTTTTAGATCTGATGAAACCATTATAATGTTCATAAGAGTGTGAAAAAAAAAGATGAGCTTCTATTGCAATGTCGATAAGAAGTAATGCTTCCTGTCAATGGTAACGCAGAATCTGTTTTCTGCTTGTTTAATTTTCGCACAGTAAAAATTACACATGATCTATCTCTGAAATAATTGCATTGCTATTTAGAAAGTTCTCTATTTTAATAATATAGACCAATGAAGACACAATTCATGGTCTATAGAGAAAAAAACAAAGTCTGACTTTTCTAACCAGAAAAATCATTAATTAGGCAACCAGTTTTAATCCAGCTAAGATTGTTACCTAGATTTCTTGAAATGGAATCCTATTGAAAACACGCAATCTTCTATGCTATTGTTTTTAAGCACCATTATTCTATTCTTTCTACAGGAAGAGTCGGGTGAAAAATTATATTTATTATTATGTTAGAACTTTTATTTGCAAACCTATTCATTTTAATAATTACATTCTTTCTGGTTTCCTTTAGATGCTGTATCATGGAGTGCAGTTGGATTTTTAATATTTGTTGCTATAATCTTTGTTATATCGATTGTATTAATATTTTATTTTGAAAAACTTTGTTGTTTTGCTCGACATCGATTTTTAAAACATTTATTAAGACGACTTTGTAGAACCAGCAAATCAAAATCGATTTCTACAATTGCTCAATCAATTCCAATAATATCTATCAGTGAACTTGAAGCTAACAATAAAAGCTCTTCAAAAATTCCGGAATATCTTTGGATTGCAGGACAACGTGAACATATATCAGCATTTCAACCATCAATGTCTTTAGATACACACGATATGGGTAAGTAAATTACAGATGACGTAACAAATAAATCTTTATGGCCTATTTTTCTCTTTTCTGTGTTTTGCTTTGCTTGACTTCTTAGTCAACTCATCAGATTCGGCATCACCTCAATATTTTCTGTCATGGCTTATCCTGTTTCTTTTTTTTCTCTTATTTATTTTTTCTATTCTAGTCTTAACCATTAACTTGGTGTTTCCTGCTCTTTTTTTCTTTTCTTTTATATACTTTCAAATAATGATAAGTGACAAATAAGAGTGAAGAATATTTCAGGTAGACCTGTTGATTGTTTTTCCTCTCTTTTGTCTTCATAAGCTTTTATAGATCTTTCTCTTTTTTTTATCTACTTTTCTCAATGCAATGCATTAATAATGTCAAAACATAGCATACATAGTATGGTAAAGTCAATATCTCTTTTCTCTTTCATCATTTACCACACGCGCACAATCTTTTCTCTTCTGGTCTTTGAGCATACTGAATTCTTCTACATAATAAGTTCTTTTGTATTTGTTTCTTTAACTAAAAAATTAATTTCTTTTATTCATGAAAAATAATTAATTGAACGCATGTTTTCATTTTTGATACACTAAATTGTCTTCATATTCGGCTATTTTCCTATTGTATTTAGCATTTCATTCAAAACAAATTAATTACAGTGAACTTGCATTGTTATTCAAGTTTGCATGTTTGAAAAGGGCGTAGATGAAGAGCAACAAGACATTTCAGTTGGTGTAAACCCTTTTCTCTAGACATACTCACTAACGAATCTCATATATGATCGCGTGAGCTAGTGTAAGAATCGTGCATCTGTGGGCGTACTCATATATTCATATTCCGATTCATACGAGCCAAACAATTGTCCATCTATTATTATTATTATTATTATTGTTCACAAAAATGTGTTATTATCCTTTTTTCCGTAAGATCATTGTCATTCATGTCGTAGATATTGTCTGTGTTTGTCTTTTATATATATATATATATATATATATGAAACTAAGAAGCAAATCGAGCATTGAAATTCTTCAGGGAAATTAGTAAGTAGCTTTTTACTTGACTCTACTTTCTATATTGTTGATATTGAAACCAAGCTTGACTTTTTCGCATCTATTAATATATACAAAATTCATAATTAATAATCATGGATATGAAAATTGAGTTTTTTTTTCTTTTGTTCTACTCAATAGGTACGGACTTACCTGATGATGATTATACAACATTAGTACCACCCGTAAAAAAGATAAATAGCACTGAAAAAAAATTACCTGATATACCAAAAATTATTGAACATGCAGAAAATGATTCATTACCAAAAAAGGGTATATAGAAGAAGAGAAATTTATTTGAAAAGAAATATTTCTTGAATGATTTAAGTAAAGCAATCAAATTCAAAGCTCAACGATCGGCGAAAAACAAGAATGACTCGAATATCAAGACATCAAGCAAGTCTTGATAGTGAAATACTTGCATATCCACATTCAGCTCCATCATCACCTTCTTTATTACGAAATCCCGGACAAAAATCTCCTAACCGTTCAATTCTCATGGACCAAGCTAATATTGTAAGCATTAAGAAACTACTATTTGCATTGGGTTCTGCTTTAGAGAAAATAAGGTAACTTGAGTTTTTTTTCATTTCGGTATATAAAAATTGAATGACTTGAGCATATTATGATTGTCTGTTGTAGTAGTTCGTTTAATGAAAAATGTCACTCTACAAAATAGATAAATCAATCGATTAAAACTATTGTAATTAAATTGAAATTATATTTCATTTCTTTTTAATAGGATGCAAAATCTGTATCAAGCGATCAAGGCTTAACATTGAAGCGTGCTCTAAGCAATGGCAGTCTCACACCAGGCACACTTGAAGTTCGACTAAAATTTGACGCTAAAAATAGCAAGATGTGGATATTTGTTATAAAAGGAACGTTAGATCTTGAACAAAGTACATTAAAGCAAACACTTGTTCAAATACATCTAACAATGTTGCCGAACAAACGTATTCGTTATCGCACACAAGCAAAACCTGCCGATAATGCTATGTTTGCAGAAGAATTTTTCTGTAAAGTATCATCTGGTTAGTTTATTACTATATAAATATATGCTCGGTCGATATGCATTCATTAAGAAGTGTTTTGTTTTCTTCATTTGATTAGAACCAATTCAAACGCAAGGTATTCGCTTTCGATTATATACAAATAAACGCTTTAAACGTGAAAAGCTTGTTGCTGAAGCAACAGTTATGTTTGGTTCAGTTAATTTGGATGAAGATATGTGTAAAATAATTCAATTGGAACCAGTTTGTGTAAAAATGTAGACTTCATCATTATAAATTTTAATTTTCTTTTATCATCTAGCCATCTGATGATTCAGAAGCAGGTAGTTTTCATTCACGTAAAAGTAGTAATTCACAATCAAGAAAAGATTCAATAATTCAAACTGGTGGATCGAGTAGTTCTACACTGCCAGAAATTGAAATTGGTTTAGCTTATGATAAAAATCAAGCAGTTCTTCTTTTTGAAATAGGAAAAGGAGTTAATTTTGACATATCATCATTAGGACGAGCTCCAGGTACGTACTACATATTCTCTGGATCGGTAATTTACTTAGTCGGGTACTTTCTTTTCTTTTTCTAAAGATACGTATGCTCAATTGACACTTCTTAATTCTCATGGAGAACAAATAGCATCGAATAAAACTGTTACTCGGTGTAATCAACATCATCCTGTATTTGCTGAACGTTACCCATTTAATATTGAAGAAAATCTTCTCAGTCAAATAACATTTGTTCTCACTATTATTAATAAACGATCAGCAGGAAAAGAAAATCGCAATATTGGTTGGATATCATTTGGTATACCTCTATTATTGCCTACCTACTATATATTATAAATTACTCGTTGAAATTTTATTTATATTTAGGTCATGGTGTCAGTGGTGACACGCAAGTAGCTCATTGGGATTCGATGATGAATGCACAAGGTGAAACTATAACACGGTGTCATGCTCTACTAGAAAGTTAAATATTTGTGTTGTAATGATGAATTTTTTTGTCATTGTCAAAAATTTAACAATATATAAACGTGACGTATATAATCGTGATTTTCTCTTCAGTTTATATGTTTGGTTAGTCTAAATTTTGATTGCAATATCTTATTGATATTTCATTACATGAAAAGCACAGTGCATAATTGATCCATTGTTTTTTAAATTGTTTTCATTTGAAAAATGTTTTCTGACTTTCTTATAAATTTTTATTTAGTGGAAATTAAAAACAAGTTTTTAATTCACATGACTGATACTGAACATTTTTTTCTATTATTTTTCTAGCACCGTTCAAGACACATTCAGAGTGTTGTGAATCGGTGCGTATAGTGGAAAAAATTAAGTTTTGTAATTAAAAATTGCGTGGGTTTTGCAAAATATGAACTAGTGCGAAAATTGTTCATCTATACAAACAGGAACTTTCAATTATTCATTTGACTCAGTGAAAGACGTAGTAAATTGCGATGATTTGAATTAATCTTCTCTTTATTCGTTCTTGTTGCAAAACTCATTATTTACGAGAATTTACGAGCCGGTTCTTGTGTAAAAAATTAATTAATTCCTGTTATTTTATGAAATCATTACAAACGAACTTTTCTTTAATATGAGTATTTTGAGAACTAATTTGAATGGAAACTCTACTGAGAAATAAGGTAGACGCTTTCTTTAGTTCTAAATAAAATCTTTAAAAAGTACTTTTGACAGTAAGTAGTTTATAAAACTATTTGACGTTAATACATGATTGATATTCACGAGTCTTTTCAATAATATGTTTTTTTTACTAGTGCCTCTTTGTAAATTAGATGTTTTACATAGTCTTCAGTAGTGTCAAACTTGAAACTTGAATTCAGTTGAAAATAGAAAGTTGCAACTTTCAACTTTCAACTCATAGCGATACATGTGCGAGTCACGATTCTTCAGAATGCTATTGGTTTAAAAGTTGAAAATTGAACATTTCAATTTTCAATTGAATTCAAGTTTCAAGTTTGACGTATATGATAGTCTTATAATGTTAGTCGATTTATTCGTACTGATTTCTTACCATTAAAGGTATACGCGAAATAGTTTGGATTGTTTTTATCTACATGATTGTAATTGTCATATTTATCAAAGAATATGCTCGCAAGATTTTCCACACGTCTGAACTTGAAACAGCATGAATTCACTTGTACATACTACTAACAGAACTTGCATATCATCACCTGCAGGAGAAGTTTTCCAACGGATAAATCACTTTTTTCGTCGAGAACATTTGCATTTTGCAGACTGTGCGGTAAGCGGTAAATATTTCTGAATAGAGTTTCTATCTTTAGCTAATTAATGAAAATATAGCGTACTTTTGCAGTTCATTTTAAGTAAGCATTAAATAGTCAGCTTTTCTTATGTCTCTCTCAGTGAGATTACCATATTCATTGTAAAAAAAGTGTCATAACAAAAACAAAATAAGCAAAGAAACGAGCTAACAGCACGAACGTTTTTCGAAGTAGTCAGAAGCCATTAGAATCTGCATGATGTATATTGTATTGTCTCAGAAGTGATAAATCAATGGGGGCTATTCTTCTAATTAGACAATCTATGAAATTTCATGACCCTGAAATCCTTGTTTTTGTATATTATTTATGACTAAAAGCAAAATAGAATACTCAAGGTCATAGATATAGTAATTGAATGAAACTTAAGTAATTCTTCTAACAAATAATAGGTCAAAAAAAAAAGTTAACTTAAATGATTCCAACCGGTTAATTGACGTCGATGTCAAAGCTTAAGTATAAAATCTTCTGTAGTAGTTTCATTTGAAATCGTCTAGATTCTATTTTTTCTAGTATTGAAAACAACACGATAAAGATATACTCTAAGTTATTAAATCTATATACTTAGAGAACTAGCCGATTATAGGAAATTCTAACGTTTTGTTTTACTATATTTCAATAGTTGTCTACAATCAATTATTGTTTCTAGCAAGATAATAAAGAGAACAATGGTGTATGAATGCCATCATAATATCAATACAGTTGCATGCTTTAGGTTTTCAATTATTTATGAAATTATAGCAAATGCCTATTACTAACTCTATTTTCATAGAACACGATGCCTTGCATGAAAAAAACAATAACAAAAACTTGCAATAACTTTCTATGTCCAGTTCCTGAGCAGAAAAAATTTGCAGTCAAGAGATAGGAAGTTTTTTTTGGTTTATTAATTAAATTAATCAAAATTCAAATACAATTTTCAATGTGTAGCCATATTACAAATTTATGAATTGAAAAAAGATCAAAATCGATGGATTTTTATTTTTAATTAAATTTATAGGGCAAAACGTAAATGTAAATAGATGAGATTTTCTTATTTCGTTTTAGATTTAATACAAAACATAGTTTGATCCAATAGAATACTAGCATTCATATGATCGTAGACTATTAGACTAGATCGACATTCAATAACGATATGTTCTCCAAATGTTTTTCATTATTTCTCTATTACTTCGATAATTATTGTCATCCTCATAATCAAATTGCTTATTGATGCAAAAAAAATGCCTATCATGCTGCAAAATTTATCGTCTTCTGATTGATATTTATCAAAAATATATCTCTGTCTTTCGATTCATTTTGTGACAAACAAAAAATTAGAGCCTTACACTGTCACCAGTAGTTTTCGAATTAAATCTTTACAAATAATCTAAGTTATTTTTGTCAATAAAATTTAGTCATGACTTCAACTATAAACAAATGTAGATAACGTAGAAGCTAAAAGAATAGCTCACTAATGATATCAATATGAGAAGAATTAATTTAGATTGTATGATATACAATGTTGACAATATTCAATTTATTCATTGGCGACATCTTCTTATTACCATTTGATCATTGGTAATTTGACCATTCGAATAATTCATGAAAAAATGATTTAATCTTTTTCTTTCACTAAAACTGTTTTGATTTTAGAGGTATGCTATTACTAAAATTTCTGTTTTGCTTCTACTAGGCGTTAATGAATTAAAAAATCGAAAAAGAATTCTTTGAACATGATTATCGTTTGTCTATTTTTATATGTTAATTATTGCAGAAACAAGTCCAAGCAAATATTATCTGTAATAAATCAAGCCTATTCAATAAGACAAATGTTGAACAGATTTATCCGTTTAGAAATGTCTTAATTGACTGAGAAAATAAATCATTTACATATGCAATCAAGGGGGAAACGACTGACTTTTGGACTTGAAGTTACTTTGAGCTACTTCGACTTACTTCGAAGTACTCTTAGCTACTTCAAGTAATTTATTTTCACCTACTTTTCAACTTCACATTTACTTGAAGTTACTTGTTCTAACTTTGTGCTACTTGAGTGATACTTTGCGCTACTTCAAGTAATGTACTTTGACGTACTTTTGTACTTCAAGTGCGCTGTTTCCCCCTTGTATGCAATCGATCATTCTTATGATTAATCATGAAATAACTTCATAATTTCTTAATATATCCTATACTTGCTAAGATATTTTCAATAAATTGTATGAACGTGAAAAGAACTATATAATAGTTAGCAGTCATTTGGAAAGAAATCTTTTGAGAATACTCATACAAATGAACATTGACAAAAGGACTCATAGATAGTATTGAAAATAGTTGTAATACAAAACAGGATAGAAAGTTTCCATTTTCATTACTATATACAGAAGATAATGATGCCACAGGTTTAAGATTTTTCATTGCCATCTTTGAAAATTAAATGTACTCTTAGAAGTTCATATAGTGATATTTCACATCTCAGGTTTAACTACAAGTAGAATATTTACAAAACTGAAGCGCTTAGTATTCTATTGAAAATTTTCAATAGATTTTCCATAATTTAGATGAAACGAAACTATATATTAACTTATTATTATTATTATTATTTAGAAAAACATCTGAGAAATATCTATACTATCTGTTTCGGTGTAACTTCATCTTCTCTTTTTGCTGATGATTATTCCATTCTATTTCTATTCAAAGTTGCTTTAGAAAAGCCGAATCGGTTGTTATTTTCAAATTGACACTATATTATACAAATTGCTGATAGTTCTATGATTTTCATTATTATATTATTATTATTATTATTTTTGTTCAATTAATTTTCTACTTTTTATTCCTAATTATCAACGAAAATAATTAAATAATCTTTGAATCATCAGAAGGAACGACTATTATCACGAGTGACATAGTAAAAGTATTGAATGATAATTTAATAACAAATAATCAAGCTCCTAATCATCACAGATAACAGATTTTCATTGATAAATACGATGATTTCTTCGAATTTCTTAAAAGTTACTACAATAACATTAATTAGTAAATATTACTAATATTTTGCTGTAATCTGCATGATTTTATTCTGACAATGCCTGATATTACTTCTAAAATAAGACAAATTCAGCATAGCTTTTCCTAATTATCTACATTCTTATATTTATCAATCGGATTACTTATGTGTCATTCTCTTCTAATGATGAGGATCAGTGTTCTTATAATTGGGTTCTCAGTACTCTCTCATTTTAATTGAAGAAAATATCTCTATATGATCGCATGAAGTGTCAACGCATGGTGCTCACGCATTTCAACTGTTTTATATATTTTTTTCTATTTTGACACAGGCATTATAACAATTATTTTAAAAATGTCATATACATGAATAAGTGAAAATTATGACCACTTTTATAATTGATATGTGCACTCTCCATTTTTATCATTTTGAAAATTTTCATACTTAAAATTTCTACATGACATATTAGATCCACTTAACATCTACATACTGAAAAGCTGAGTACTCTCATCAAAATTTACGTCAATATTTCACTTCGTTTTGGAATGATGATATAGATGCACGATATTTGTTAAAAGAAAACCTCAGTATCAATTTATTATTGGTGTCGTCAAGTCAACTGTCATCCAATTTGTAGAGTACAGTAAATCTTTAAGCAATTTATTATTTTTCACGATGAACTTTGACATGTACTGTTGAGGGTTGTCTTTACTTAGAATCCAATTAATTCATAGTCTTCTATGGTTGTCCTTTGTTGATACTGCTAGATTAATAATATTATCATATACTCATTGACACTTATCATACGATCTTTTCATTGTCTTAAATATGATAATCTGCAATATTTAAACTTTTAAGAGTCTACAACTGAAATTTTCGATTTACAGAATTCTAAAACTTTAAATAACGATCTTTAACTGATACTTTTGTTTGTGTTTTATCAATTTTTGCTTCCAGAAAAATGCGTATCGAATGATTTTTAATTAGATTTCTCTTACTTTCAACGATGAGGATTTTAGGAGGGAAGAAGGCAGATAAGTTTCATCTAAACTAATTCTAAGTTACTTTCTTCTGAAATCTATCTAAATTTCATAAACGAATCATTGTATGCGTTATTTTGCTCGTATTAACCAATTCAAGACATGCAATAAATTTATCGATAGTTTTTTATACTGAAATATTTTGTTTTTATTGAATAAACTGAGTTAATTGGAATCAAATTTATTATATATATATATATATATATATAAATATTGTAGAAAATAAAGTTTCTAACATTCATCGCCAGCAGGTAGATGACTATTCATTCGTTTATTTCTTGGTTGGTTATTTTTATCTAGTTCATCATTTAATGTCAAATGTTTCTGTATTGTTGATAATGATGCTGTTGACGCTAGTTTTACAGTTTGAAATTTTTGTTTTCGATAAATTGAACCTTGCTTACAAAAATATAATGCAACAATATCACATATGAATGTTGCCAAACCAAGTACACCAATCATGGATCCTATATTAAGTGTTAATACAAGGAAATCAAATCGGCCAGCTTCACCATTAACAGTCACAATTAATCTTAAACCGAATGCTTTTGTTAGTGTACGATGTGAACGGTTTTTAACTTTCCAATGTGATGCATAACGAAAATTAAAACCAAATGAAAATTGTTCATCACGTGATCTTGAATCTAAACGGCCGAATGAATATATTGGCTTACATTTTTCATTACCGAGATCTAAATTACACATCCAATCAATTTTAATACGAACAACACCACCCGATATTAACATTTTATGACGTTCGTCAGTATCCGGTTCAACTATATTTAATAGATCGCCAACACGAAACACTGGACAGAGTTGATCATGCACAGGATGATAAAGACATTGAGTTATAGCTACGGAATCATGAAATATATTCGTTCTTGCAATACCAAAACGTGTAAATTCAACGAAATTTTTAACAAATATTGTGAAATTCAATGAACCCATCATAGGTTCAGGTTTATCATTATCATTCTCTACTGGACACCAACCTTCAATTTCACAGCGACCTTCTGGTTGACGGCATTTTCCAGTCCAACGTCCATTACTTTTAGGAGGATATGGGCCTAACGCTTGACAATGTGTATCATTGGCGCATGCAGCATCTCTGATATCGAATCCTTCGATACAGCGTTTTCGTTGTTGATCAGTACGAATAAAGTTAGTCATAATAAAGAGAGCATTATTCTCTTGTGGCGGTATAATAAAATCAGCATTATCTAATGTTATTGTATTATTCTTATCAAAACGGCCTATACCTGTAACTTTAAGTGTTACAGACGATATTAATGATGGATCACGATCTTGATAGCCACGTTTATACCACATTAAATACGCAAATGCGTAAAATACAATAACCAACTGTACAAAACGACATGTTAATGCTATGGAGTAGGAATGAATAGTAATAATTTTTGGTGCTAAAAATAAAAGACGTGAAAAAATAACATTAGTGTGCAAATCTTCATTTGAAAAAGCAAAGTGTAAATTTATTTTTATTTTTTAAACCAATTATTATACAAGCAAAACAGAGACTGTTGATCTTTTTGGAGCTTTCGAATGAGTAGAGACGAAGACATGCTGTAAATTTTGAACAGTTACTTAATGATATTCAAAACTAAGCAAGTTCTGAAGTTTTACATACGATCATTCATCAGTGATCGGTATTCTACTGAAAACTTTTAGTCAAATTTCCACACAATATCTCCGGGGAAAATTGCTTTTTTTCTTATACTTTAAAATATTTTCCGATACTTCTTTTTTTCTTAGAAAATTGATGGGAGAGAAAAACAACTGCTAAAAGCATTTTAGAAAAAATCTATAATTTATGATTCAAAATCGCTTCGTCTTTGCCTTGCGACGTTGAAAACTGAAGTACTTTCTTCTGCTTCCAATAAAAATTTACCAAAAGCAGACCTATTTACTTGCATTTTATTTTAAATCGGGAGAAAATTATCATATTGAATAGAAAAAATAACTTACTTTCATATTCAGTAACCATACTAATAAGAGCAGATTTCATGTGAGTAAGACCAAATGCATGCGTAAATGGTTGACAATGTCGTTTGATTTTGGCACAGGTTGTCTCAGACATGCTTAAATCGATAAGAATGTGTTTTGTTTTTAGATTAGATTATTAATTAAATGTTTGACTAATATTTTTGCTCTATGTATCTGTTTCTTCATCAATGCTTACGAACTTATCGTTTGGCTCGACAAATATTAATCGATGTCCGTTGATGAGAAATAGTTGTGTTATGTTGTTGTTTTTTCCCGAACTCTAGGCACCATGTTGATGAAAACGAGAAAGAAACATTGAACGATGTGTGAGACCGAAAGATTTATATTCCTTCCTTTTTCTTAATAATCCAACAGTAATTAAACGACCATACACGAAGAGGAAGGAAAGTGCACTTGATGATTGACTGCTCCTTTCTCGTCAATAATTTATTCTAGTCTGATCCCAATATTATTGATGATCGTGAGTTTAGACTGTATAGTACGATAAACCTATCGAGTCTGTGCAGAAGTCGACGTAGTATATCAGGAAATTGTTAATGGTAATAAATGTCTGTTAAGTAGTGCTCGATTCGCATAAATATCAATAAACTGTGTGCCTCTGTGGAACGTGCAACGAGAGACAGAGAGAGAGATAGGGAGAGAAGGAGAGGAAAATATAGAAATGCGGGTGATAAGCACCAGCAATATATTTTTTCCATCATACAAGCAATAGTAGTCTCTAGGTTGCTTTGTTCTGCCTTTCTCTTTCTCTTTCTCTTTCTCTTTTTTCTCTCTTGTTCTCTTTTTGCAAAATTCAGAATACTCAATCATTAAATTGCGGACATAACAATAAATAAAAATTGTCTATGAAAACCATTGAATATGTCAGAAAAAGCATTGATAGATTAATAAAATCGGTCATAAGTAGTATCATGAGAAAATTTTTTAGAATGCTGGCACAATATTTAGATCATCAATATTCTAGGAACCTTATTCGATGATCAACTTTACGCAATTATAAATTTGTCACATCTATTGCACATTCACAATGTAAAATAAAAGTAACTAAGATTATATTCAATCTCTTACACGTTTTTTACTGTTCTGCTAATGACTTTCTACTGGCATCGTTCATGAAAGCTTTAGTTTAAAAAAAAGTAAAGTAAAGAAATGCAAATAAAAGCTTATTGCTAACAACATATTTCTTTTGTCATGTTAATTATTAACATAGTCATGTTTAAAAAGAAAGCATAACCTGTTTCTTTTCATTTAGATTATATTTACAAAAGGAAACTTATTGCATAAAGATCTTTATGTCCGAGAGAATCTCAGCATAAAAACAGAATGACATCATGAACAAAGTCTGACTTGGAAATCTTTGTCGGAACTCTTTTATATCAGAAAAATTGTGACCAAAATTCGACTGTTGTTCTCTGTAAACGTGCTTGAGATGGAGAACAATTTCAAAATTTATTTCTTTGTATAATAAAAAAGAATCACTTCTGGGAGTCGTTGTTGAATTGGAGAAAATATTTTTAGATAAAATATTTTTTAGCAAATGAAAATACAAGATTATAGACTCAAAGATGTTGTTAATTTATGTCTTCGTTCTTTATTTGACGTTAAATAAAATATCGATCTCCGGAGTATCATTTTTCAAAAATTATATATTCAGAAATAGCGTTTATTGCGCTATGCATATGTATGTGACAGTACAATGTAATAATACATTGAAATGTTTTTTTTTATAATGTTAAACCCTGAGTTTTTCCTCAATATTTCTTCAATGATCGCTATAAAGATAATACAGATTGAATCTAGACGATTTATAAAATAAGTTAGCGTCAGTGTTGGATCACATTAACGCTAAACGATGATTAAGCTGCGCCTCCTAATCTAATTGGATTAGGACAACTGCCGGATAGCAGGAGGTATGGGTTCGATTCCCATGCAGGCATCTTTTTCATTGTTCTGTCACATAACATCATTGGCACTGCTTGTCTCTTTGGTTCTATACACATTTAGAGCCCAACATATAAGATAAGAACATATATTACCTTCATATATGAGATTGAATTATATAAAAATACAGTAAATAGCAAGATTATTATATTCTTTATCGATTGATATAATTATTCAAAACAAATTTCTTTTCACATATACATGGATTAATTGAAGAAAAACAGTTTACTATTTACACAATAAATTTAGTATTTAGATACTACTATGTAAAACGTCACTTTGGTTATTTTCAGTTTATGGAATAGTACTGATGAGCGTGTGGAAAAACTCTGTTAATATGCCTCATATAATTGATTTGTGCATTTACTAAACGAATTTAAGTCTTATTTTGAAAATTAGATTATTTTTTTATATTGAATATCGATTGAAATTGGATTGCAATAGTTTCAGATCACTGGTTGATGTTGACCAGTTTCAGTACTTAATGTTCTTTGTAGCATAAATAGCAATATACTAGAATACTAGTAATGTTTTTCTATTGACTTCAAGTAATCTATTAGAGACAAGCAATTATATACTGCCACTAAAATTTTATGAACTAAATTGATTCTAATTTTTAAAAATATTTTCAGATGTTTCTAAAGATTTTATATGTAAATTCTATCAATAATTTTATATCTTCCTTTTTGTGTACTCAAAAAGAAGTGAGTACACTCTAGATTCGGTTAGTGTGTCCGGCTGTTAACACGATAACTCTTGAACGACTCATCCAATTGTCTTGAAATTTTGTACACAGAATGATCTCATCAATATCTCAGTCGAGTTCGAAGATAAGAAGGATCCGTCAAGAAATGGCTGAGTTATCGAAAAAATTGTCATTATTGTCCAAACCATCCCTGAAGGGGGGGGGAGTACAGGGCTTTTTTCAAATTTGTTTTTCTCAGAATTATTCAAAACATATATAAATCGACTCAGTTTTTGCAGTACACATAACAATCGGATGAGAATCCGATGTTTCCTCATTTATTAAATCTAATGTTATAAATTCTATTCTAGGCAAATCCTATAGCATTTTCAACAGTAATTCATCTCATTGTTAGTCTTTAACTAAAACATGTGGACAGATTTTCGAGAAAATCTAAAGAAACATAATACAATCAAATGAACTTGATCATTCAGTTCATAGCGTGCTGAAATCATAATCCTCAAGACGCATTAGTTTGAGTTCTTTGCTTTACATTCATGATAGTTCAAGCTCAATATAGACATAAAAATTAAAGCAATCAAGATATTTCTTCTTAAAACATGTTCACAGCGCAAGAAACAGACAGTTGAATGTTTTAATAACTCCCATTATTTGTTTCTTCTCTAATCACAGTAGTGTCTGTGAATGCTAACTACAGACAATTGATTTTGATCACTTACAGGATGAAGATGAATGGTAAAATCACTAAGAAACAAAATATAACGTACTTGTTAACTAAGTAATACTAATAATCTTGTCTTGATGATAAGTATAAGCGCATTGAAATATGTACTACAATATAAAACGTAATTATATATCGATGAAGTAAACAATCTTCCTAATCTTCTGATTTCTTCATATGTTTTGCTGATGATATAGCTATGTGTGAAATATACATGCTGTGTCGACAGATGTGCAAACTAAGAGAAAGAATTAGTCTACATTCTAGCAACTGTAAACCATATAAAACAGATATAAAGATATTGATGATAAATCAAAAAAGAGAGTATTCATCAAACAAGTTTTTATTGATTCAAGTTTTCATATCCTTTGCTTTTCTACGAAAAATCTCCGGTGATCGAAATATTTGATATATTCTGCAATTTTTATGAAGAGATATGAAATTATTTATTGATTTTCTTTTGCATATAATATTTGGAAAATTTCCAATTACCTATCGAGTATTCCAGATGCAACGTTTTCATTATATTTGATATTCATGACGATCAATTTTTCTTACTACAAATTAGTTTTTCTTAAAACGATGAATTACATGGATCTTTATTGAACTGATTAGAAAAGGTGTCCGAATATATATTTTGTTTGTCAAACCTTTAATATGCCACTTGAAACAAGGAAAGATAATATATTTGACCTAAAGGTATGCAAAGATATTTTTTTATCAAAATGTTTAACATCCTAGAAGATAAATTGTTTTGACATCAATTCATTTTCAACAGTAAATAAACCCATTACATACTTTTTCGTTTTATATATATATATATTTGTCATAAGATACTCAACAAAACATGTGTATAGCTTTGACTTAGCAATTGATTATACCATAGATACATGTGTCAAATCGCCTACAGTAAAACATTTGAGATCAATCAACAAGTGATAAAATTTGATGATTTCCATCTGCTCTGATTATTTCATCAAGAAATTGTCATGTAGGATATGTGTCAAGTAGTCAGCGACCTCTATTTAAAAAATTGAGTCACAATAACGGTGTCCATGCCTTTTTTTTCTTCTGTGTACATGCAGTGTTTCTAAGGGCAAGTTTATAGTCTTTGTCTATACGGGTTGTAGACTTTGCGGAACAAAGGAAATCCTTTGTCTGTACATTCTGAATCATCGTTTTATTAGAATTAGAGGCCCTGTCTATGAACACGGTTTTGAAGTCTGAATACTTTCTTTTTTTTTTGCAAGATGATGTTCTTTTGTAAAGTCAATTTTTTTCGATTCAATTCTATTCGAATTAGTTGTAAGATAAAATATTTGATCTGATTCAAGTGAATGATTTAGTTTTTCTTTTATTTTCTATTGTAAAGTTGATCAAATTCACGTACGATTAAATCATCAAACAAATAGTGATGGATGTAAATAATTTTCGATCTTGAAAAAAGTTACGCTATTTTATTTTTATTTTTTGTCTTCATTTTAAGTTTAGTACATCAATATTTTGATAAAGAAATAAGTCAACATAAGAAAACTGGTCGTTTACCATCAACATTTCATTTGAAAGATGTTAAATATTATGAAATACTTTCTCGCATTCGGAGTAAATCTGATCGTCTTTCATATCTTCGTTCTTTAATGTCAATTATTAATACTCCACCAGCATTTGCTGCACAAACTGATTCTGGCGGTGTGCACAGAGGATTTTTATCTCCATTTCGTAGTCTTCGTCAATCTGATCTAGTCGATATATCAGCATGGAACTATTTAAAAGTTCAAAGACTTAATGAAAATTTACTATTGAATTGCTCTGGCATTTCTAGTCTTCCATTAGCACAACTAACTATTGACATGAGAGCAAAGTTGAACCTATTAAACGACCCCTGGTGGCCAATATTAATTGGTGTATCGAATGATCTTCATGCAGAAATAATTGATGTATTAAAAACAAGATATCAATTACATGGTCCGCATCTATATACATGGGAAACACAAGAAGATCTTTCAAATAGAAAAGATTTAACATTAATTTGTGCTAATCGTGGTGAAACTATTTATGAACTTGATTCAAGAACAAATTATATTGTTCAAATCGATGCAGATCAGCAACGATGTTGTTTAGGAAATGCACCAACTGACGGTGAAAAATTCTATAAAGATATTGTTAAAGTTGGATCAAGGACAAAGTAATTTATTTTTGTATATACCGATACATTTGCTTTTTCATAAAAGATTTATTTTAGAAGTTTTGATTTATCAAAAAGAATCCTAACACCAGATCTATTTACAATATTAGCTTCATTTAAAATGAAAGGATTATTTTATAAAAAGATGCTAAAAGAAAATGATGATGAAACTTATAATATAAAACAGAAAACTCGTATTGGTTTAATTTCTCATTAAATCTGTTACTTATTGTTATTTTTTTTAAATTTCAGATAAAATATGAATACACTTGAAGATCTTCGTTCTGCAGTTAAACAGACACTAGAACAAAATGGTGCATTAGCAGCAACACGTGCTAAACTCCGTGCAGACATATTTAAAACATTAGAAGATCCATCCGAAGTTAAACCGAGAATTCCGCATGAAAATTTACTTATCAATGAGCTTATTCTTGAATATCTCAACTATAATAATTTACATTGTGCTGCGTAAGTTACTTTATTGTTTGTCGCAATTAATTATTTGAAATTTGTTTTTACTAGGTCAGTACTTTCTGTTGGTATGGCTATAAAATGATTTTCTTGTGCTAGATTTTCTTATGATAATTTCTAGAATCAGGACAACCGACACCATCACTTGGTAGAGCTTTTGTTGCTGAACAATTGAATATACATGAAGATGATAAAACACGACAAGTGTAAGAAAAATTTAATCGAGAGTCATCCTTTTTTGTTTTTGCTATTAGAATACTACAATTTGGAGAAAAAAGGTTTTCAGAAATAATAAGTAAAAAATCTTCGAAGCTTTATAGATAATCTAGACTCAATATAATATGTACTTAGAACTTAGTTTAGACATTTTCAACCGTTAATCTTTTTATCGAATTCTGACTAAGTTACATCAACATATTCATAAAGTTTGCCAGCCAATATTGAAATTGATACTGACTAGGCTAGATTGGTGTGGACCATTCCTCATATCTGATCACACTCGAATAAAATTATGAATTGGTCATTTCTAACTTTGAGATACTACTGATGAAATTGATTCCTGAAGTAGATCAATAGGACATAGAATGGGTCTCCTATAATTTATACTCAAGACCTTGGCAAGCATTTCGATATGCCAGTTATTCTACTCTGTTACATAGTTAATATAACTGTCCCCAGTGCTTTCAGGTAGTTTCATGATTTTTAAATATTTTAATTGTTATTCTCAATGTATTGAATGTAATATTTACTTCCATGAATCGTAACTGAAGTATATAAGAATTATGAATTAATTATAAATGTATTCTGTTTTCAACAGTAGATTTCCTGTCGGTTATCTGTGTTGTCGTTGCGAAAGATATATGATGTAAATTACAGTCGTACATATATTGAGCGTATATTTCGATAATTATTCATTTCATAGCAATAGTTATTGATATTACTAAAAGCAATTCGATTAGCGATAGAAAAATGGAGAAAAGAAAATATTTTGATCATTATTTTTCTTATCTTTTCCTAGAAATTTGGTGAACTTTTTTTTTTTTAGACCATTACTTTATTCATTATTATCACACTTTGTGACAAACAGCAAAACGGCTCGTCGTACACTATCGAATGGTACAAATTAGAAAATAAAATCTTCAATAGTGAATGCTAATGTCTTTAGAATTGATTAACACATTTTGTATATTGCGTTTTTTTTATGCTAATTTAATAGAATCTTAATATGTAAGAATGAATGCATAAAGCTTGTTCCTACTGCCATCTATAGTCAAGTTGAACTTGATTGGTTTTCGTTAGTATCGATCTTACAAACAAAAGAAAATACATTTTTGTTTTCTTCATTCGAACATATACAATTCAAAGAAAAAAAAACGTCTTTTCAGATGTCCGAAAATGAAGACTTTGAATCATTGAAAGTTCTTGAACTTCAAAATGAACTTAAAAAACGTGGTCTTGATACAAAAGGACGCAAGGCAGAGTTAATTGATCGGCTACGTCAAGCAGTGAACAATGGAACTGAAGGTGATAATCATTTACTCACATACGAATCATTTTATGCTGATATATATTTTATTTCGTAGCTAACGATCCGACAATTGAAGATTCGACACATAGTGATGAAGAATCAAGTGAGGCTGTAATGAAAGACGATACATTATCTCCAGCAAATGTTAGTTTAATTGATGGAATAGATTTTCCTTTATTTTTAAACAATTTTTTTTTTCAGGATAATAAAAGCAATGATGATGAACCAGAAGAAATGTCTGCTGAACCTAACCCAGAAGCAATGGAAGAACAAGATGCCCATGAATCGCCGGCTAGTAGAAAACGTCGTCTTACTGACGAAGATATAGAAAAAGAAAAAGAAAACGACGAAAATGAAGATAATTCAATTGATAATCAAAATAAGCTAGAAAAAGATGATGAAAGTAATGCTAATGATGATTTATCAAAACTAAAACGTAAAAAAAAGAGTCGTTGGGGTTCTGAACAAGATGAAGAATCATCAGAAAAACAATCAACTACAAAACAAACATCGGATGACGATGATGATGATGATGAAAACGATGATACTATTGGTAATAATAGTAGTAGTAGACATCGAGAACGAGATCATGATCGTGATTATCATCGATCATCAAAACAACGGGATGACGATCGACATTATAGTAGTCGACATTCAGAAAAGTATGTAAATCGATATAATTTCAGTAGAGTTTTTCTTCTCAAATATATATATATATATATATATGTGTGTGTGTGTGCGTGCGTGCGTGTGTTTGTGTGAAATCAGAATGAATAGAGAAATAACAAATCTGTCTTATGTTCAAATGGTGCATCAATATATTTATTTCAATGAAGATTTATTAACACGGATATTTTAATTTATTCTTTATGATTTATATATACATTTATTGCAGTATATCATATAAACAACAGCTCGTCTGACAATATTATACCGATATTTATTTACTACGACAATTCTCATGAGATCCTGAATTAAAATGGTAAGCGTTGTGATAGCGAGCAATTATTATATTAAAGAATGGTTTAAGATAGAAGAAAATGTATATGCATATATGTATATATAAATAAATATATTCAGTCAACAAACAATGCATTGTGATTTTTTTTTCGAAGTATGATATTGAACAAAGGAAGAATCAATGGTACAACAAGTGAACGAAAGGCAAAATAATATGAATTGATATAAATATGGATATTTTAGGTGAAAATAATGTATATAATTGAAAATGCAAAGATATTTATTCATTCCAGATAACAAAAGACAGATCAATGAACAGGTTTTTTCTCTAAATATAAATATGATAAAATCCATGTGTTATTTGTGTTATTCAGATTTTTTCGCTTTGTCATTTAATATTTTATTCTATTTTTCTTCTTATGTGTAGGTCAACGGAGAGGGAAATACCACTTCCAGAAGAAGAAACAGTACAATTCAATAATGATGATGTTGTACTTGACTTTTGTAAGTAATACAATTTATTTAAAATATATTCATTTCAATAGGATAGTTCCTGGAAAGTCAATTTAGACTTTCTTTTTGAAGGATTGACTTAGAAAACAAAATTGCAAATTTTAGTTTTGACCTACTCTTTTATTTTTGTGGACAACTAATCTCAAAATTTTTTAGGTTAAGACTTACCTGAAAATTTGATTTCGGATGAGATACATTCCAATCGCATGCTATTTTCAGTATACGTTCAGTCTGCTGGGGCCAGACAATCAGGATTTTTCCCCTAGCGTAGCTGAATTTGATAGAGAATATCATATGCAGACAAAAGGCTTCAAAATTGAATTACTTGGAAAATTATTATTTATAGAAGTGTTTAAATCTGTAATAATGTAAGAAGTTTAATTCAGAAAAAAAGAATAGTAAACGATTTGTTTTTTTCATGAAAATAAAAATATAAAGTAACACACCATGTAACTTTCAGCTACATCATTGCGTGTTCGATCATGCCAATAGATGGCTTTTGGTGTTGCATAGGGCTGATACTATTATTCAGTTTATTTCATCATCAAACTGTGAAATGAATTCGTTTTGGCTAAATAGCATAAGAGGATGACTATTGATTCTTATTTCGTATCATATAGAGGAGATTATTATCCTAATTACCAACTTTTAGAAACACACTTGAGCTTCTTGAATTGAAACGCTGCCGTACAAAATAAATATATTTTTATTTATAATATAGATACATCGGATTTGAATGTTGCTATTAATACCGATTGTTTATCAGCATCGAGTAAATCAAATGATGCATTATGTTTCTTATGGGCTGGTGTTCGTGCCTCATATGGATTTAAACAAGGAAAAATATGTTATGAAATTCGAGTAAATATTTTCTATGTTTATATCTTGTTTTATTTATTTGTTTATTTATTAATAACAATAGATAACTGACATAATAAACTGTTCACAAATGCCCGATAGTGAAAAAGAAAAATTCGGTATTCGTGTTGGTTGGTCAAATTTATCGTCAGGTCTTCAAGCACTCCAATTAGGTAAAAGATTTTTATTTTGTTTTTCTCTTTTTTGAATATGATTAATATTTCAGGTGAATTTAAAGACTCATTTGCTTACACATCATCGGGTAAAAAAATGAGTAAAACGAATGATGACCTGATCGAAGAAAGTTATGGCGAATCGTTTGGTTTATCAGATGTTCTTGGTTGTTATATTGATTTCGAAGATAATAGCGAAGATAATTTAATTCGTATATCATTTACGAAAAATGGAGAAGATTATGGCCAAGCATTCGAATTTTCTAAAACAAATTTGAATGAATTTTATCCACATATATTAGTCAAAAACGCTAAATTTGAATGTAATTTTGGACAATTAGTAAGTATATTACTGTTTAATAGATTTTCCTACGATGAAAAAATTCATTTCCTTTTTGTATTTCTCAAGGAACAACCCTGGTTCGCAATGAAACCTGATTATACTTTTCCACAACAAGTTCCTCTCGAAAATCGAATACGTTGTTCTGAACCTGTTCTAGAAAAGAGTAGCTGTCAAGTTGTTCTTCTTTCGGGCTTAAATGGATCTGGTAAAACAACATGGGCAAAAAAATATATGGAAGAAAATCCCAAACAATATTTCAATTTGTTAAATGCGGAATATGTGCTTAGTAAAATGACGGTATGTTGAATAGAGAAAGGATTCATTAATTGTTAAAGTAATTTGTTGTCATTGTCATTTTAAGATTGATGGAAAATCACCAATAGTCAAAGATCGTAATGATGGTGTGATGTTACGTGTTAATATTGGTTTACAAAAATTTATTGATATTGCTGCGCAGCGTCGACGAAACTATATAATTGATCATGTAAGTAGAAGTAACCTGTTTTCCCTATGTTGTTTGTAAAAATTTTCCCTTTGCTTCTAGGTAAATACAACTCGAGATAGTCAATCGAAACGTCAACGATTATTTACTGGCTATCATCGAATCGGTGTAGTTATTGTACCTGATGATGATGAATTGAAACGACGTATTGACAAATTAGAAAAATCAGAAAATATTTCTATACCATCACAATGGATTAAAGAAGCAAAAGCAAAATTTCATTTTCCGCAGAAAGGCTCTTCATTAGAAGATGTTATTTATCCTGAACTATCATACGATGATGCAAAAGCCTTATACGATAAAGCACGTCGAGATTATGACCAACATCGTTCATCATCATCATCATCATCACGTTATGATCGACATGATGATTATCATTCGTCACGTAATAATAATAGAAATCGTTATGATGATCGTGAACATCGTAGTCGAGACCGGGACCGCGATCGAGACCGTGATCGTTATGTTCGATCACGTTCACGCGATCGGGACCGTGATCGTCGTACATCACGGGATGATACACGCTTTTCATCATCACATCGAAATGACAATTATCGTGGTGGTGGTGGTGGCGGCG